ACAGATAATCACTGACAATGCACATCTTTGTGAGTTGCCCACCACACTGGCCTAAACACCAGTTTTTTTTTTTAATGTAGCATGCATAATGCAGTTTTTGTCAGCAATTCTGTTTCTAATTCACAAATACATTTATATATGGTGTATTTTCCCCAAAGACAGCCCCCCCCCCCCCCCCCCCAACACACACACACGCAGACACACACAAAACTTCACAAATATGGTTGAACTATATATTTGCTTAATTTTTTGTATATATGGCAAATATTGCTTTGTTGCTGTGGTGTGTATGTCTGCTCTGAAGCGATAAGGGATATAACATAAATATAGCCTATACCTGAAAGACTTCGTAAATACACTTTAATAGGCAGCAATAAATAACCCCAATTCCAAAAAAATTGGGACACTGTGTGAAAATGTGGGGGAAAAACTGAATGCAATGATTTGCAAATCTCATAAACCCATGTGTTATTCACAGTAAAACTTGGAAAACATCAAATGGTTAAACTGAGAAAATGTAGCATTTTAAGAGGGAAAAAAAAGGGTCATTTTGAATTTGATGGCATCATTTCTCCTCTGCTTTTACCAACAGTCCATAAACATCTGGGAACTGAGGAGAGGAATGTTGCCTCGTTCTTGTCTGATAATAGTCCGGGCTCTTCTTTGTTGTATTTTTCATTTCATGATGCTCCAAACCTGTATATACCTTTGAGTATTGATGTTGCATAGTGCCAGTGGCATAGGCGGTAATGCACCAGTCAGAGATGCAACATGAGCGCTGATAACAAGCGAGATGGTCCTGGCATCCGTCCTTTCCCAAAAGAATTTCAAATTTGGATTTATGTGGCAATAGAATAATTTTCCATTTTGCCTCCGTCCATTTTCCATGAGCTTTGGCCCAGAGAATAAGGTAGTGTTCCTAGATCATGTTCACATGATATGGTTTCTTCTCTTTGACCTGCTTTTATGGATGGCATGGGGAAGTTCATGACAGAATCATGGCCCATTTTAATTCAGTGCCAGCTGAGAGCCCATAGATCATGGACTTTCAATATTGATTTTCTGCCTTTTTCCATGCGCACAAAGATTTCTCCAGATTCTGTGAATCTGTTGATAATATTGTGTACTGTAGATGAGGCAGTCCTTGATATTTTACATTGAGGAATATTAAATTGTTTCATAATTTGTAGACAGTTTTTTTTGTCGATCTTTACTCCTGAGAAACTGACAATCTAAGATGCTCTTTTATATGATAATGGTAAATGGCCTGTATTTGTATAGCACTTTTCTAGTCCCTAAGGACCCCAAAGCGCTTTACACAACCAGTCATCCACCCATTCACACACACATTCACACACTGGTGATGGCAAGCTACATTGTAGCCACAGCCACCCTGGGTCGCACTGACAGAGGTGAGGCTGCCGGACACTGGCACCACCAGGCCCTCTGACCACCACCAGTAGGCAACAGGTGAAGTGTCTTGCCCAAGGACACAACGACCGAGGGCTCGAACCGGCAACCTTCCGATTACAAGGCGAACTCCCAACTCTTGAGCCACGATTGCCCCTAATATTACTGACCTGTTGCCAGTTAACCTAACTAGTTATAAAATTTACTTCTAATTTCTTTTTTAGTCCATACACGCCCCCCACCCCCTTTCTTGCCCGTGTCCCAACATTTTTCACATGTATTTCTACCATCAAATTCAAAATTAGCTAATATTTTTAACGGAAAATATCAAAGTTTTAAACATGTGATATGTTTTTTATGTTCTATTGTAAATAAAATATGTGTTTATGAGATTTGTAAATCATTGATCTGTTTTTCTTTACATATAGTACAGTGTGCCAACTTTTTTTGGAATTGAAGTTGGACCATGCCTGAAAAGGACTTTAAAGCAATAGATTGACATGTCAGGAAATAAAATATGCTTTTAGGTTTCTTTCCAAGAGTTAAAAGAAAACCTTAATACCACTACAGTGTCTGTCCTGGAGAATATCCTTGCTCTTCTACTCTCAGAGGATTTGCTAGAGATGAGTTCTGCCAAGATCTTGAAGATGATATTTCATTGTTATTTTACAATCTAGTTTGATGTATTGTAAAACTACAGGTAGTTGATATTGGTAGATGATTTTGTAGGGATTAACTGTAAGCATGTTAATGTTAAAGGAAAAATGTATTATTGGGATACAACAACGCTTGTGGTCACCTCATTAACAGTCTTTATGCTAAGCTAACCATATCCTTTTGTAACTTCATCTTACATGAACCATGACCAGTGAAGAGTTGCACACAAAAAACAGTAGTTTTAAAAAATTACATGACCAAACAAAAAACTTGAAATTAGATATAAAATATACAGGATTGTATAATTTGCTGGTGATAGTGAGTGTAGCATGTCACTGTCAGGAGGCTGGTGTCCTTCTGTGTTCTTCCGTCTGGAGAAAAAACACTAAAGCTCTCATTTCCTCTCCAACGGTCTCTGCAAAGCCGGTCATTTCTCTGGGAAATTTAGTACTCTGTGTGCCTGTGTGAGCTCATGCACTGCTTGCCCTCAGACTTACTGTAACAGAGGGTTGACGTTCCCGGAAGAGATTACCATCACTGCTCTAAATGTTTCCCAGAGTGATTTGGGACCACGAAGCCAGGATAATTTGACAATTGTATCTGCACACACTTGCACACGCACTCGTGCCAGTGCATAGTTGTTAAGGGAAAACATTTGAATCTTTTCCAACCCAATCCCAGATGGTACCACAGCAATGCGGTACTCGCGTACACAAAATTAACCGCTCTTCTTTGCTCCTTATGTCTGCCAGCTCTTCATCAGAAGCCCAGAGCACGTCTGAGTATTCAGTCCAGGCGGAGTGACTTTGCTGGTCCTGGATCAGATGTGGATGGTGATGACAACGATGATAATGATGGTGATGATGATCTTGAAGATGATGTGAATGCAGATTTGGGATCTGACCTAAGTCTTGATGAGCTTTGACCTTTATGTGTTGTGAGTTTTTTGGAAAAGGTAAAGGCTGAGGAAGCATTCAGCAAGAAAAAGACAGCACACAGCGTTGTTGCTTCGTCATTGCCGAGCGTGATGAGAAATTAAATGTTGTGCATAAAATGTGAGATAAAACTTGATAAATTCAAGAATGAGTATTGACTGTACATAAAGGAAAGCGAGTAATTAGATCATTTTACCTATTGCTGTTACAGAGCTGCTTGGATATGAGTTGGGGTTTTTTCTGGGGGGAGCTTTATTTGAATGCAGTTTAACAGTTTTTGTGAGAGTGCCAGAAGTGTTGGACTAAGGACAGATCACTAAGTGTGACGCTATTTTAAATTTCTTTTTTCTTTTTTTAAACTGGTCTCGTTTGAATCGCCCACTCTCCTTCTCGTTTGTTTGTTTAAAGTACTCATCATCGAAGCATTTTTTTTTCTCCACTCAGTCTATTTAGTGTTATCAGGTACAGTTTAGGATTGTAAAATCTTCTGTTCCCATATGCGCAGACTGATAGGATGCTGGGAACCACTTGAGGTGACAGTCAGTTGTTTAAATAGTTCTTTGTATGACCTTTGATATAAAACCTTTTTTCTCCCATTATTGTGGAGCTTTGTGTCAGTATAGAAGCACTTTTGTAAGGTGCATTATTTTTGCAGTGTGAGGCACTAAAAGAATACGTTTTAATTGTTGCCACACCCTCTGCCCGCATGTTGCGCGCTACTGGCAGAAAATTATGGGTCCTACTGGAGTTAAGGATAGAACTGCTGCAATTGGTCTGCTAAACCACAAAGTTTGGCTTTAGGCATGACAAAATTAAAAATAGTTATGTTTAGGTTTGTTATGATTACAGATTGTTGGGGTTAGGTGAAACTTTGATGTGGTTAAGGTTTGGGCTGGACTCGCATCTTTGCCCTTAGCGACAGTGGGATGCATAATGAGACATAACTAATCACTTGGATTTGAAGAGCACACCACTGGTTTGCAAGCTTAGAGCACCGTGATATACTCAGATTGAGTTAAGTTGGTATTTTATAACTGGGACTTGGATCATTTTATAGACAGCTCTTGCGTTTAAAGTTCTGGTGAATGTCATGACTCTGTATTAAAAGTAACTGTAAGTCTTCTCTGTGAAACTGTAATGGATTTTTAATGGATTTTTCGTCTTGCATAATGCACTCTTCAGTCCAGAAGGAATCTGATGAGGGATGGGATTTTGGTTCCTGGTAATGTAACTGAAGTGAGGTAGGAGTGAAGTGAGATAAAATAAATAGGAATCAAAAGCCATTACCATTATCAAGGCGCCGGTGCCCGTCAGTCTCCACTTCGATCTCCATATACCCACAACTCAGCAAGGCAGTTGAAGGTCCCTTTATTGCTACAGTGTCTGACATGAATCACACTGCGCCAGGCTATGTGTCAAGCTGTTAAATATTTCAGCTTCCAGACACCCCCCATCAAGGATCCCAGACCACAGTGCAGAGCTGCAGGCAGCTGACAGCCAGGTTAGGTGTTCAGTGGGGTGCATGCATTCAGGCTTCAACAGTATTGACCACATACACATTGTCCACCTCACTAACAAGACAGATTGTCTTAGTAGTCTGTAGTGAGCAATACAATACCTTCTAAAAAACCAGAGCATAGCGTATTTTTCACAATCCACTGTAACACTATCTTTGTATAGCTGTTAATTTTGTTGTGTAAGCCATTTAATGAAGAAAAGACTCATCTATTTGTTATTGTGTCCACATAATGGCTGATGAATCCGACCCTTTTACTGCCATTTTATGGTGTTTGCCAAGTATTGTGTGGTTAGGCTGCAGTAAAGCAGAGGACTGATTCGTTTATTCAAGGTGTGTAAAAGAAATGTTTTACGTTTTGTCTCCAAAAATAAAAGTCTGTTTTAAAAGAAGAGACTCGTTTTCTATTGTGATTTCTTTGGTGCTGAAGTGAAAAGTTGGATCAACACAGCCAAAAATGCTAATTAGGGAAATGCAGGGGATGGTTTCAAAATATCTTTAATCATAAATCACCAACAATCCAATAATTCACATCTGGCAGCAAAGCCTCAGGAAAAGCATTCGGCATTCGTTTTTACAGAAACCGACAATACAGGACTTAAAAATGATGACTGACTTATACATTAGATCTTTTTAAATGGTTATAGCATAACCATTACTCTCACCAAATAAAGGAATGAGTTTGAGGATTGATGAGAATTAAAAGTGTAGAATTTATGCCAAAGACCACTGAATCTTTTATGGCCTGACACAAATTTTCTTTCATTTTCCTTTTCGGTGGCACAAATACTAAACTACAAACACAGGTGTAGCTCAAACTTATCAGCATGATTTAAACCAGAATTTAACTTGTATCAGTGGACAATGTTTTTTTTGTTTGTTTTTTTTTCTAAATAAAGAGGAGTTAAAATGTGTTTTGTGTCATTGTGGGCGATTCAGTTGTCCTGTTTGTCACATTTCCACCCATTATATTTTTTCCCCCACGTGTTTTATATCCATATTCTTTTGCTTGATGCAGATCAGTAGTATCTACAATACACAGGAAAATGAAAAACATTGTGTGGAAAGGCCACTAACGCACATCAGTCTGTCATTGTATGAAAGAGTGCCTTACGGTGAACATGCCTGAGGCTTATCTTCAAACACAGACGACTCCTAGCAGCCACTTGGCCCTCAGAGCGTGTGTTCAAATGGTTACTGGGAATGCATACTTAATCTGGAAATTAGTTTTTGTGGAATATGAAAACAATATACATTAAAAGCTGTTTGTGTACTGTGTAAGGCACTCTCTCCTGGACTTAAAACACTGCACATATCAAAATCAGGCAAAAAAGCCAGCAAAACCATTAAGGTAACAAAAAAAAGAAGTTAAATAAAACCTCCCATGCCTCTTTAACACACTTGCACACACAAACGTTCACCCAGCTATGCTGCCTATGTACACAAAAACCTTATCTTTAATACACAGAAAATTCTTCTACTTATGTTTTTTAATCTCCACTCCTAAAAAAAGTAAAGTGCAACCTTGTTAACAATATAATCAGGTGGTTTGTGTTGTTTATTTCTTCTCTTTAGCTTGCTGGCCTTTATTTCTGCCAGACTTTAACTGGTAAAGCAACATTAAACCAGTGAGCCACAGTAGGAGAGGTTCAGTCGATGGCCATGTCAGATGATCTTCTGCTTTGAAACAACCTATTTTCAATTCTAGAGAAATCAAATATATTACACAACCCCAGCAACCTTAGATGGGCTGAATAATGTAAAGTTTACAGTAATGAACAAATGAATGAATGGATGGATGAAAAATTGGGAACACTTGTGATAACAGACAAATTTAGAAAAAAAATCCAAAAGGCAACATCATGGATATTTTCTTCATTGTCCATTGCAGTTTCTGTTTGGTGCAGATTAAGGAAGAGAGACCAATTTCACCAACCACAGTGGCCTGATTCTGGAATCTGCGAGGGTATTTGGACATCAAACATCCTATTGTGCCTTCATCAGTAGCTGTACATGGACAAAGGTGTGTCCTCCATATCATCCTATAAGAAAAAGAACGATGTAAATGCTTACACCTATGTTTACACAGTCATACTCACACTTTTGCCTTCAGGAATCCCTTGATTTTAAGGCAGCAAATTATAACATTTTAATAGCTTTATTATTGGCTCATATTATTAACACTCCTGTCTGAGGGACTATTGGACTTTGGAAGCCACTAAAGCATTCATGAATCCTTCAGGAAGATGCAAGATAAACTGCTAAAAGGGTGTTATGGGCAGCAGAAGGAGGAGACCTAAGCCCTCGGGTGGGCTGGGGCTGTATACATGCACATAGGCTTAAATCATGGCAGGCTAAAAGTATCAGGGGCAACAGAGACAGGAGGAACAAAGGTGAAGACTGTGCAAAGAAGCCCAAGAGGCCGAATATTGTAGAAGGGTGGAAGATGCACGCCATTGCAGCTCACACTGAGAGACACTGGCAAGTGTCTGGGATTGTGCACAGGAACATCTGTGCCCAGAATGTCCAATGAGGCACATCCCAAAGCGGTTGAGAGCAGGAGAGCAAATGTTCTGTAAGACTTCCAAGTTCTAGACAGACAAGCTGATACTGGCTAACCAGCCAGATATAGTGGTAGTTAACAAGGAACAAAAGATGCCAGTAATCGCAGCAGCAACATCGGAAAGAATGAGCATGAGAAGAATGGAAAATGGAAAAGCCCTGTGGAGGGTAAAGTCCAAAATGGTCCCAGTAGTAATAGCAGCATTAGGGGCTGTAACCACCAAACTCAAAGAGTGGCTACATGAGATTCAAGGCACAACGTGTGGTTTCAGAGACGTAAAGGCCTAGAAATAACCCTCAAACTCCCAGGCCTATATTAGAAGCCTGAGGAAACGCTGTGAGTTTTAACTATATTAGGAAGAGCAGCAGCAGAAGTACATCTCCAGTCAGGCCAAATGAAAACTGTAACTAAGAGTGCATAACACATCTGTGCTTAACAACATCTGACAGGCTGAATATTTTCCAGTGTTGCTTGGATATGATGGGTGAGCTCACCATAGGTAGGTCCTGCAGCCTGCGGAACTCCGGCCCGTTGCCTCTTCGGCGCAGTTTGAGGAAGAGGAGCAGAGTGATGATGATAGCAGCAATGATGAAGGCTGATACCAGACCAGCCAGGAGGGGGTCTAATCCAGGAGAGTTGTGGGCTGTCCCTAGACAAGAAACACCAGAGACACATCAGCTGGGGCCATTTTTCTATTACCACACTGTATGCTGAGTAAACATGCTGGCAATGCAGCGTTTAGGGAGGATTTGACTTTGAAGTTCTGGTTAGAACTATATATAGACACTCCATGAGCCTGCTGAGTGTTCATCATCAAGCTCAGGACAGAAGTGTCAAACAGGATGTTTAAACTTGCCAGAACGATACTTAAGGTGAACAAGTAAAATCAGCAAGTCATTTTATTATTAAGGTATCATTTTAAGACCTTTTCAAACTTAACTAGAGCAGTGTATACAGCACATGAAGTATGTTACCATTTTATCCCAGGTTATTGTTTAATTTCAAAGACTAGCCTGACGTTTTCTTGGTTGTTTCTTTCCGCTAAGTATTTCTGGGCAGGAGGATTTCAGATCTGCGTTTCTGGCATCTCTGTATATGAATGTTGCTATGGAAGACTGTTTTGTAAACTTAGCTGTTTTTTTTAATATCCTTTGGTCAAAAGTAACAACAACCACAGAGTCATGAATGCTTGCTGCTCCTCTGGCTTATGGAAAGAGGCAATGTGCCAAGCACCTAATAAAACCACACAGAGTGAGACAAGCAGAGAGAATTTTACACTTAAACTGCAGTCAAGCAGCCTTGACAACTGAGATGAGTTAATCAGTTATTCATTTCTTTGCACCTATAGTCTGGTAAAAGTACTTTCAACGTGTTCAAATGAATGGTTTCTAAACCCTGTGTGGACTGTATGGACACAGAGAGAGCAACTGTTCATATATAAATCATTTAGTAAATAGAGCGACGGAGACAGACAAAAAGGAGAAAAACAGAAATCTTGAGGCTAGAGTCCCATGACTGCCTCTGTCCCTTTCTCAAACAAACCCATGATTGTGGAGTGCTTGGTGGTGACAGTGCTTGTAGAAGATGTAAACGGGGGGGGGGGGGGGTTGCGTGGTGTGTGTTTGTGTCTCTGTGTGTACAGCCAAAGACTGGCTTGTGCTGGAAACAAAGAACAGCATCTCCTTTGTTGTTAAGCCAATTCACTTCTGGCTCTGTCAATATCCTGGAAGTGAACAGTCAAGAACAAATTCATATACCAGCACAGAAGGTATTATGCACTTACCGTCCCCGTCCACGTTGAGCTCTGATGGGTTGTTGGTGTGGGAGCTGGTCTGGATGCTAGGCTGGGTGGACTGTCTGTTGGACTGTGAAGTGTTTGACGTTGGCTGGGAAGTGGAGGCCTTTTGGACGGAGGCGGTGCTGGAATTTGTGTTGGACTTGGTGGTGGTGGCGTTAGTGATAGATTCAGGCTTTGTTGGTTCCGATGCTGGGGCAGAAGTAGCAGGGGGTGCTTTGGTCTCATGGTGTGATGCGTTTTGATTTAATGAGGGAGTCGGGGTGACCGGTGCACCTGCAGAAGTGTGCAGTACGTGTGTGGTGCCGATATTAATGGGAACAGCTGTGGTGGGGCTGCTCTGAGAAGGGGAAAGTGTCGTATTTGTGATGTTTTCATTTTTTGCTAATGTGGTCTTAATGGTGTGGTCGGTTACTATGGAAAGAGAGAGAGAGAGACAATGTTACTGTCAAAATGATGTAGTACTATCAGGTAAAAAAATCAAGTCATGCCTTTAGTTTCCTGTGTTTACATTTCTTTTTTTTTCTTTTTTTGCTTTTTTTTTTTGGCCTGTCCCGTTTGGCTCTTTTGCCATCAGAATTGTTGTCTAAAGGCAAAGAAAGATGCCCAACGGATTTACTTTACCAAACTGACCATCCCAGCCTTGCCGTAATGGTCCATTTGATTCACCTTTTATTGTTTATTTTATTTTCACTTACTGAATACGGGACAGACTTGACTGGGGGAAAGAAGGGGAGAAAGAAAGAGGGAAAGAGAAACAGCTGTGTTTACATTTCTGCCAGCACACCCAATTTAATTTGACCTATTTTACTTTGTAAAATTTAAAAAAAGCAGTGAATCTAGCCTTTATTTATAATAATATTGATTATTTAAAATTACAGAAAATAATCTAAACAGTAACTATTACTATCAATTCACACAGGAAGTGGTTTTATTTATTTTTACGATAAACGGTGAAGAGTTCCAGGTGGTCTAAACATAGAAGATAAGATCAGTTTTTCCAAGCTCAGTATGGACTTAAAAGGCTTGCAGTGATAGCCAAAGAACTAAACCAGTCTCTAGAACCAGTGTACAAAACAACAGCTTGCCAATAAGAGCCTTATAGTATATAACAACATATGCCTATAATACCTTTTACACAAATAAAATTTATTCATATAAAATCCATATAAACCTGAGGATAAACTTCATCCAAGGGCTTAAGGGTGGAGACAGAGATATGCAGATAAATCCTCTTACTGTAATCCATAATGGTGAAGCATATGGTTTCAATCAGAAAATTAGATCTACTTCTGTTAAAGAAGCAGATCTAATATCTTAACAAGACTGAATGATATTTGAATGTAAGCAAAACACCGGAGATAAATGAATTTGTTTCACATTACTGTAAAGTTGTATTTTTTAAAAATGTTTTGTTTTTTTTTACTGTATTTTCTTTCGAAGAAAAAAAGATTAGAGGACCAGGATTAAGGTCATTTCTTCTGAAAACAGATGGTTCAATTGACTTTCAGCTACTCTGACACCTTTTCGATAGACTGCCATGAAATCCGTTCAGGTATTCACGGTTTTTTCAGAAGCTGTCTCCTGAAACCTTTAGTGACCGCTTGAGGCTGATGAAATGAAATGATCGTGGCTGGTGAAATCTCTTGAGAACTGTGGAATTAAATTTTGTACAGGATAAAATATAATTACTCTGATGATTGTTTAACTTTTATGTGGTGCCATCATCACATATCTGCTAATGTAATGCGGTTCTCATCAGCCTCGGCTGTACTTCTGTGCTGAAAGCATTTTTAATTTAACGTTTACCATAAATCACTCTAAACAAGACTTGCTTTCTATTATATGAAGCAAATGTTATCTATTATACATGCTAAATATCAGTGAATTAATTTACCTTATCACCTTTCAAAGTTATTTCCAATAGAATATTTTTTTCTTAAAATATAACTAAATATACACATGCAAAAGGAAAATGTATTTTCCTTTTCTGTATGCTGCTTTTTTAAAGCTAAAAGTGCTCGGTAAAAGTGATATTTAAAGACAGAAGACTTCATACTTCTGGGTCTATAATAACTAAAACTGGCACCCAAAAGCTTTATGGAGAAACCTTATGATTACTTAAAAAGTGTGGATTTTAAGCTATTTGTAAGATCATATTGTGGCATGTTATATGGAGAAAAGTGCTGAGCAGATGTCTTCTGTCCCACTGTCACAGGTGGACAAAATCAGGCACCTAGCCATGCAGTTTGCTTTTACAAACATTTGTTAAAGAATGAGTTGTTTTAAAGAGCTTTCTGATTTTGAGTGTGGCATTGTAATAGGATGCCACTGTTACAGCTACTCAGTTTGCGAAATGTCTTGCAAAAAGGAAGTGTTTGTACTAGGATTCCACTGTTACAGCTAGTCAGTCTACGAAATGTCTTGCAAAAAGGAAGTGTTTAAGAACTACAACAAGGTGAGAGACCATGTAAATTTACAAAGTGGGATCAAAAAGTGCCGAGGAGCACGGGCATAGAAGTCAGCAGCGCTCTGCTGACTCAGTAGTTCCAGACCTCCTCTGACATTAACATCAGCACAAAAACTGTGCACCAGGAGCTTCATGGCAAGCTACTGTAGATGGAATAAGAAGGTGGCCTGCGCTATAGGAGCAGATAAGGCCAGTAAGTGCTTTTGAAACTAAAAGGACTTCAATTCAGTTTTAATGGTAGATTATGTAAAACAGCAATTATCTGATCTGCTTTTCTTCAAACTCTGGCAGCAACATCCTGGATAACATGCAGTTTTGTAATTGCTGCGTTCAGTAGGTCAGTATATACTTTAAACAGGAGTAAGAAACAAAAGCTGGAACAATATTTGGGTAAGGAAATTCCAAAAAGTTGATTCTGTTCATCTGGACGTAGCGTTTTCAGTGGGAGAAACATTTCTTCACTCATCCAAGTGACTTCTTCAGTCTCCAACACTAGCTTTAGACAGTACCTGCCAAAGTGGGTTAAAATGTCTTGATGCGTGCTCAATTAAGAAGCCACTTGGACAAGTGACGAATTCTTTCTCCCGCTGAAGATGAACAGAATCAACTTTCTGGGAAAACCTTGAACAAGCTTTTCAGCTTCAGCTGTGTTTCACGAATGGTAAACAGCAATTTTGTCCAAGAATAATTATTAGCTATTAAATAGATATCAGAATCAAATGTGTCACTTAAGTTTTTTCCCTTCTGATTACGTCTGTGCGGCTACAGGACAGAGGCTCTCTAACACTTGGCGCCTTACTTTGTCTTCATTTAACTTTAAACAGCTCATGTTCATCTATTGATTAGCAGCTGACAGTCAGTTAAATTAAAATATTTTGCTCATTTGGCATTACGGACATATACAGCTGTGTGTATCAAGAAAGCAGCTACAGATATTCACACCATACTTATGAATCACAGTGGTAGCATATAATTACGTGCATGAGCATGCTAAGTATAACCTACAAGCACTAAAAATGAAAATTCACTTGCTTCCACTCTACTGAGGTAAGTGCTAATGACTTAAAAGTTAAATATGTCTGATGAAAACATATAACCACAGATATCTGCCAGCTTAAATCCTGCAGAGATACTGACTCATGTAAATGAAAATAATTGCTATTTTTTACAAAAAGTAATTGCGTATTAATAAAAGGTACTCAGCCTACAGATTTACTGATTAGAAGTCTTATGTGTGGACTGAGTGTGTGTGTGTGTGTGTGTGTGTGTGTGTGTGTGTGTGTGTGTGTGTGTGTGTGTGTGTGTGTGAGAAAGGCAAAGAAAGAGCTATCCATGTCTGTCTTGGGGGAGAGGATTTCACTTCTCTTTCTCACCCCCATGTGAAAAGTCGCACAGCATTTAATCACTTCTCACCTCAGTGGCATCTGAATCACCTCTTTCTCAGCTCTTCTCCAACTATATTTTGCCTTTATTCTCCAATTCCTATACAGTTAAGCTAGTCACAGCTTCTTTGCACTGCTCTTCTTCACTGTTTTGCATCATCTTTGCATTTAGTGGCGTTTCCTGTTCTGTACTCTGTTTCTTTAAAGTCTTAACTGAGCTCTCTGTCCCTTCCTGTGTTGTGTTTGTGGAATTACAGTCAACACTTAAACCCTGTCACTAGCCCTGTGGCCCACTTCTGGACGTGGAAAACGGTGATAAGGACTCTGTTAAATATAGCTCCTCAACTCTGAGCCACCTGCTGTTGTGCTTCCTATAAATTCTTCTGAAGTCTAACAAAACTTCCCGTAATGGCAAACGTCAAACAGACAGAAACAATAACCACAACAGCGCATCAGTTTGTTGCAAGTTTGCAATATTAGGCCACTTCCTAAACACTTTAGCCTACCATCATGTTTTGTAAGTGAGCGCAGGAGTAAGAGTTTGGAGGTGCATGCTTACCATTATCTTTCCCTGGTTCGGCTATGATGGTGATCCTTGTATTTTCTGTAGTTGTGCTACTGCTCACATTGACTGTGCCATTGGAACTTGTGTTTGTCGCTGGGCTGCTCCCTGAATGATTGGCAGCATCCGGGCTCAAACTAGACTCATGGTCCAGAACTGGAGTCCCTGTAGTTTGAACAGTACTAGGAGTAGTTTTTGAAGAAGGGGTAGGAGTATGCTCATCAGCTGAAGAAGTAAGGACAGAAGCAAATGTGTCATCTTATTAATATCCTTAAAGTCACAAATTATTTGTTCATTATTCCAAATACATATGTAGCAACAGGTAGTGTTCACACCCCAAAACCATTGTAACAACTCAGGGTCAACACAGGCTAATGTTTAAACAACCGAACAATGGATACTGAAATTAAAACATGCACACATACAGCTGTGCAAACATTTTAAGCAACAACAGTAAGGTATTAACAAGTGATAATGGCATGAATACATTTTTGAATAAATGACATTATTATTCATTCATTTATTGAATAAGTGTGCACGTCTTCTCACTTCTTTTCAATATGTAAACTAAATCAAAAAAATGGAGCAATGTTGGAGTGTATTTCGCTTAATTGTTTACAGTATTAATTCTCTTTTTTCGTAAATAACTTTCTTTATATTGTTTACACGATCGAAATATAAACTGAAAACAAACAAAGTTTCCGCATGACCCCAGTTGTTGGCTTTTGACAGGGAGGTTTTTCAGCTTTCACAACGTCTGCTTACTTGAGATCAGAGATTTGCGGGGGTTGCAACATCCGCTCCAAAACTATTTGTTCATCTCGTTGCAGCAGGTTGCACTTTAAAAATCTTATTATATGTCTGGGATAAAACCCATCAGATGCCCTCTGGTGTTACTGCTGGAATCCAAAAGTCTAAAGAGCCCCAAACGTTTGCATAGTGCTTTATATGTAAATGTATCTGTCCTGAGTAAAGCCTCAAAATCATCACAACAATTATCGAACAGCTTTCCTGGATCAAACAAGGTTTTAGTGTCTGGCTAAAGAATTTGGAAAGAGAATCATCCAGGTAAGGAAATCCCAAAAAGTTGATTCTGTTCATCTGGATGTAGCATTTTCAGTCTCAGTGAGAATGAAAAAGTCATTTGGATGAGTGACGAAACGTTTCTCCCACCGAAAACGCTACATCCAGACGAACAGAGTCGACTTTTTAGGATATCAAGTTGTATTTGTTTTGCAAGTCCAGAGTTTCTTTTGCATCAGGAGCCATAAATTCCCAACCATTTTTCGCATGTGACCTTTTAAAGTAAATCAAAGTAAACCTACTTGTGACCTGTAGAGATGTGATTAGCTTAGCCAGTGTGTGATGTTCCCTTTTGGGAGACATCTTTAGAAGGCTGATATGACAAACCATCCATAATAAAAGTATATCTATTTTTAAAAAGTGTTTTACCAACTCAAGTTTAACCTTGCATCCTTTTATGAACTCTAACCTATAGGTCGTGAATTGCTAACTAAAGTGCACAGTAACAATGCCACACGAAAAAAAAAAAAATAGACACAGTTTGACTGCCACTTTCAACTACAAGCCATATAAGTTGTGTGAACTAATGAAGACCTTCAGTCTTTTGCACTCTCTTTTCCCCCTCTGTGCTGACACATTTATCTCTACTGTACAAGGCTCCATTTCAGTTTCTCCCCTCCTTTGATGAAGACCAGAGCACTAATGTAATGTAAAGTCATTACCGTTCCATAACACACTGCCCTGATACCTTTCATTACTGCCATAATCAGTCACACAGCTCATCAGTAAACACAGTGAAAGCAAGGCAGTGAGACACAGACAGACCCAGAGAAAGAGAGAGTTGTGTGAACTAAATGATACCAAAACAGACACACTCATAAATAGACAGAGGTGCTTGGCTGTATAATACTGGCCTTGTTCCCTCACTTTAGCTCCATTAGCGAGCTTCCTAGGTCTCGTCTAGTAGGCTATGTCTGTTTTTGTACATGGATTTGTGTGCAGGGTAAAAATCATGAAGAGAGTCACTGTTTCCACCATTGCACACGCCCCTTTTTAGATATTACAAGGGCTTACTCACAATCTTTCAGGCCAATGCAGCATGTACCTGGGGAGATAGCTTTTGCCCATTTGTTGACCCTGCCAGCGAGAGAAACAGCCAAAAGTTTCTCTGTGAACAGATGTCTGCTGCTGCAGCACTGCTAGAAAAATATACTGCGATACAGTCTGTCTGAGACACATCATAAGCTCTGTTTTCTCAGCAAGTGGTTCTGGTGACATTTGAGCCAATACTGCTGAAGTGAGCTTTTTATTAAGTGAAACTGAAAGAGCTAAAAACAAACAGCTATGCACATGCTGCACTCAAACTGCCTACCATGTTTTTGGCTCTCGTTCTCATTCAATAGACCACATGTGAGAGCCTAAACTAACTATAGGTGTTCTGTTATTTTTTATGATAGCGAACTTTACTGGAGCATGCATGTTACACACCGCAGGCAAAAACTTCTGTCCTAAACTAATTTGCACCATAAAAAACCCTCCCAGTAAAACTTAATAATTATCCAGCTCAGGGAATTTATTAGAATTAAAAATTAAGCTCAATGAAATGAAACATAGGGATTTCTTGTAAATGGAAGCTATTAAAAACAGCCTTTTTGAAACCAGGCACCGAGAGAGCTTCAACTTATATCACAGTCCTGCTTCATAAGATGCTCTATCTGTAGTTCTTTGCCTGAGTAAATATGACACCATAGAAATGAAACTTAAACCCAGCTCTGTTATACCGTGTGCATATTATTGCATAGGTATGCTGGCTGAAGCATGATGTCAGTTACTGAAAATATTCTTACTTCTGATCTAATTTTAAATAGTCTGTCTATGTTACTCTTATGGATTTAAAACTTGTGTTTTCCACAGGAGAAAAGATCTGATTGATTGGTTACAAAAGAAGGCTATATGAGTGCAGCATTGCTCATATTCTTTGCTTCTTTGCTATGAAAACTCACAGGGCTTTTTTTTTTTATGGTGAATGCTAATAACCTGCCATCATCCCCTTCATTGTGTTTAATGCATACAGTAAAAACTGAACCTGTTACCACTGAACCGCTTAAAATCTCTTCATAAAGTCTGCATAGTGTACTGCAGAGGCGAGCCAATTAGTAGGAACCCAGTAAAATGACAGTGTGCTGCTGCACATAATTAGAGGTGTCATTTATCACAATGTACTTTTCCTGCTAATTTACAGCCAATAAATGTTCTCCAGTGGAGCCGTGCTGTTTCCTATTCATTTGAATTTCAGCTCGAGGAGCTGAAGGGACAGTTTAGCCCAATAAAATCTTTTCAAATGTCAACAGTCTCATTGTCCTTTTATGTGAGAGGTGGTGATGGAAGAAAGAAAAGAGAAGGCCGGAGGAAGAGAGAAAAGGTAGGAGGGGGCAAAAAAACAGAAGGTGGGTTAAGAGTGAAAGACAGGATGTGTGAGAGGTGAGTTAATGTAATGCAAGCAGAAAGAGGAAGAAGGGGAGAGGGAGCAAGGGAGGAAGTGATGTGCGAGATAAAATGTGGCTTGCTTGAACAAAAAGTAGAGGCGAAGATGTGGAGTAGAATTTTTAAAATAAATCTGCTCAGTGTAAAAGCGAGTTCTTTGTTGCGTAAAATGAAAACAAAACAACAACACTGACTTCATCATTTAAACCCAGATGAGTTTTGTCATTTTAAAGCCGGACAGACATGACTAATAATGCCACTAATCCCCACTCTAACAACATCACAAGTGTCAGCAGGTGAGTTTGGCGTGAAAGACTATGTTTACTTTTTAGGCGCTGTAAGCATAAAGTTCGGGCATGTAGCATACAGAAATAAACTGCCCCCTACCGTGTACAGCGGATCCCAAGTAAATCGCTAGAAGCGCGCAAAGGGCAATCCAGAGTTTGGTCTCCATCATCTGTGTCCTGTGGCGACGCAGTAATAAAATCACTACACAAGCGTGGTTTCCTCTCCTCTTCTTCGCCCAGGACTCGCTTTTGTCCACAGTCGGACTGCAGACTTTCACAAAACAGTTTAAAAACCCGAGGCCGCTTTAGTGTCCTAACCGCGGCGGAGAAACAGTAGCTCTAACAGTGTGTGCGTGGCTGGAGGGACAAAGTTGAGGGAGGAGTGTGTGGTGTGTTCGCTCTCTCTCTCTCTCTCTCTCTCTCCAGAACCAGTGCCACGTGTTCTTGGTTCAAAATAGTCAGCGAGTCTGTGACGCACAGGCGCACAAGGCAACGACGACGCAAACACGAGCCACACAAATCACAAATGTATTAAAGATCTGTTACATTGCTATTTATAGTTAATATTTAAGCTCCATATTACTCACTTCAACGAACTTTAACGTTGTTTTTCTTCTGTCCTGTTTTTTCCTCTCCATTCATACCTAATTTAAAAATAACGTTAACAAATAAATTACTTCCTCAAATGCCTGTGATGCATTAGTAATATTGCACTGGTTATATAATATGTATTACTCCAGTTTTTTCCTCTCTTTTTTAAATAATAGGTTTTCGTAATGTTTGACTTATTGACGCCTTTAAATCTGCAACAAATCAATGTTTAAACTGGGACTATGTTAAATCATTGTCTCACTAAGGATTCAGCTATGCAACATTTTAAAAAAGCTTCACTCGTTCTTTTGGGTTTATAACTTTATGCTAAAGCGGAATAAAAAATAAGAACGTTCTCGCTTCTCGTGATTTTTAAGGCATGATGGAAGTTTTTCTCTCGTCCACATGGGGGCGCTGTTGCTCTAAAGTTGATTCTTATAACAGGCCAAACTGTAAACTGCAACACACTGCTCTAGTTAGACTGATAAACTGAAAGCCATTTGTCTCACACATTTCATGTAGATATAGAATTATACTAAGATATTAAACTGTTTTGGGGGTGGAATGAAGAATAGTAAACATATACACAGAGGGTTGTTCGGGCTGGGTTAGGGCTCTCAACTCTACTGCTGATTCACTGGTTTAAATAAGATTAGACTTGTGAGTCATTGATGTCCTACAACTCCTGATTCAATTTTAACTGCAATTTTCTTCAGTTGAATTGGATGGCTTTGTTTTTATTACTGTTTGCACACTATATATATATGTTTTAAATAATTGTCTGTTGTCAGTGATGTGTGGTTATCATTTTGTCCAGGAGAAATTTATACGATATGCACTTTAAAAAGGATATATTGGTCTATTATATATTTTATTTGCATATAAAATAATAAACCTAATATGATACCTGGGATAGGCTCCAACCAGCTGCAGCCCTGGAATGGATAAAGGAAGAAAATGAATAGATGGGTGAATGAATGGATTTGCAAGCCAAGTTCAGTAAAAGAAATAAAGCCATTGTTTAAAAAGCACAACTTGCTTGAAAACCTAAAGATTAAGATGTATTTGAAAACACAGGGTGGCATGGTGATGCTGAAGATTGTCTATTGAAATACAGTCCTGGGCCTTTCTGTATGGAGTTTGTATGTTCTATCTGATACCCCAACTTCCCTGCAAAGAAGTGCATGCATTTAGGTTAATTGGTGATTCTGAATTGCCTGGTGTGAGTGTAAATGTTTGGCTCTGCAACAGTATCGGTATATTTAAATTAAGGTAACTGTGGGCTGTTATTATTATTATTATTGTTAGTAGTAGTAGTAGTAGTATTGGTAGTATGTGTACATAGATGTGTATTCCATCACTCGCAATCTATTTAGGGAGGAAACTGTCGCATTTAATGTTAATGGCTTCAAAAGGGCAACTCTGGACGATTTACATTATTTAACATTGTGATGACGCAAACAGTTTAGTAAGACTGATAATATATAACTAACTAATAGATTATAATAGCAAAATTCACTCTTTGCAGTAACGTATACATATCCTGTGCATTTAGTATTATGGGAATTTTACAAAATCGCTGTTTCATTTGCCTTGTTCATTGGTTACGCTGCGATTACGATATTTCCAACAACACGTGAACGTAGCAAAGGCTACTGGTGACGGAGCAGAGGCAGAAGAGCGGCGGGGAGCTGCCAGCATCGTCTCAGACCGTCGCAGGACAGAAAGGTGTGAAAATACTGGTCCACCAGATAGACTGGCGATAACACACTGAGATGAGATTGTTATGATAAAACTGTCACTCTGAAAATACCAGCGTCGCCGTCTCGCTTGGTTGAATTTGACACTAGGGTTGCGTCAAGTTACATTGCTACGTTAGCTAGTTTCGTGCTAGCACAGTGACGCTAGCAATCGCTGTAGTATTCTTACATAGTGGAGGTTAGCGACAGCTAGAAGAGCTAATGTTAGCTTGCCGGTTAGCCCCTCATGTCATCCTTATGACTACAATTAATCATATCGTAAACCTAACCTAAACATGCTCATTGCTGTTGCGGAATTATTATGGAAATTACACACTTTGCGGGGGAAAGTTTAACGAAAGCTGCTGCTGAATGTGTTGCTCCTCTTTGATCATTTGACAGCTCCGTATCAGCGGAGATATGGAGACACCGGGGAGAATAGCAGCCACACCGGACGCCCTGGACTTTACGGTGGAAAACGTGGAGACGGTAAGTTTTTGCATCAGTCAGCTCAAGAGGAAAAGCAGGGGCTGTGTTAAAGATAATACGGGCGAATTAAGGGGGAAAGCAGGACGCTTAAGTGCGCCTTGTAGCCCGCTGTAATTACTTTGGTTAAGACTTTTTCTTACAATGCTGGTTTATTTAGGGGACGTGATGTTGCTGTGTTTACGAGCTGACCTCACCTAATTTAGCCTCGACTAAATGCTATGTTTAGAAAGAATACTGAAGTGGTAACAGGTTGTTCCATGCACATTCTCCTAAGTGCGCTTCAAGGTTTTGTTTATCTTTGTCAGATTGGTTATATTCAGCTAGTGTGTGTGTGTATGTGTGTGTGTGTACGTGCGTGTGCATGGCAGTGTTTGCAGCCAGGTCGCTGTGATAAATCTCCCTCCTTGGTGGCCGCTAACAGGGACACAAGGGGATGGGTGGGGAGGCGGTGGAGAGTGTGTGTGAGAGAGAGAAAGGTTCTCCTGGGGTGGATGAGAGCTGATGTGATAAAACTGATAGAGGGATGAGGTGAAGGAGGGAGGGGTCCATGTCGATAACAGTGCCAGTAAAGAAAGAGGAGGGGGTGAGAGGAGGTTGGGGATGCGACAGAAATGATTAGAGGCAGGTTTAAAGGAGAGAGGCAGATTCCTGTGGGGAAAATGTCTGGATAGATAGGTAGTGTGGTGTAATAAAAGCACAAAGAAGAATAACAAACACTGAGCACGGTCCTGTTCTGCCTTGGGATAATCTATTTTCACTTATTCATGTTTCATTTCTGCAAGTGGAGAGTGTATTGTTTTATTGACACACCAGAGGAAAAAGATACTCCATTCCATGGAATTACATTTTCTAAATTTAAAGTTAACACTAACATATATTACATGCACTCCTTAAAATGTGTAATTATTATAACTTGAAGCATGGAGGTAAATTTTTAGATAAAGTAAACTAAGTCCAAACTCATATGCTTAGATATTATCATAACATTGTTCTGTTTTTATTTTGGGTTTGCAATATTGAAGTGAAACCTTGCTTACCAAAAACCCTTCACACATGCAAAAACAATGCCTGATATTTAAAAAAAAAAATGGTGTGAGCCACATGCGCTACATTCAGCTTTCACTGACTCATTTTACTGTCTGAATCAGGTAGTCGTGTCAGGGTACTAATCATTCAGTAAATAATAGTTTTTAAAAAGTGTTTAAGAGCATCTCTGTAATGTCTTTGCAAATAACAAAATGTCATGTGTGGGTAGTGTTTAAGAATTTAAGGTCGTTATTCAGATTGTGTGACAGCTTGCACCAGCATTCAGTCTGTTCCAAGCCGTACAGCACTATCTGTAATCTCATGAACTAATATAGCATGCATACAGCACATAGCATCTGAAGTATAATTTCCCATAAAAGATATCAGCAGTTTTGTATTTATAGTGCAGTGGCATTTCAAAACTAATGAGATATTGTTAGTCTAAGGCTTGACTATATTTAGAAAGTAATACCGGTAGCTGAGATTTTTTTTTCTATTTTCTTATCCTTTCTTGTGAGTTTGGTGATAACACTTTGGTTATGGGATCAGTAGGATGCTAAGAGAATGGAAAGTGTCTTTTCCTGCTTACCTAAAAACATCCTTAGCATGTAAATCTGATATTTAACTTATTGTCTAATATGTTAGTGTCAGCAGTAAATTACCTACTGTACAGTAGCATATGGCTTATGAATAAAAAGATAAATTGTAATTTTATTGGAGCAGTTAAAAAAAGGAGATTGTAGATGCAGAATTTTCCCTTTGCTGCAGTGGGTGTTTGGTAGTGTGTGCTTATATTATAGATGGTGGTGGAGATGATGGTTCCTGGCCCAGTGTTTCTATGTGTTCCATAGAGTGCTCTTTGTTCAGTCTCAGCTCTGTGAAACAAAGTGTCACACTGTCAGGATCTTTGTGTGCATAATAAAAGGGGTTCGAACACTGGCGTACATTTCCGCCCAACTATAATTATCTTTGGAGTCACTATGTGCCAAGAAAGGGAATTTTTAAGAGGAAATTCAGAGCGCCACAGTATGTTTTTAGGATTTTGCCATTTTTTAGCTCTCCCCTGAGACAAAATACTGCTGTACCACAGGAAAGAAGCCCAACACTGCACTGGATCGGCCCAATTCTTGCTCAAGGGAACTTTAACAGGGTGACTTTCTGTTACCGTAACTACCTGTAATCACCCCACACAGGATGCTGTGCACAGGAGACTGTCAAGGTCCATTTAGTATGGTTTAGCTCCCTGCCTCTCAGCTGGTAAAGCACCTCTGTCATTCAGTAACTGTAGGTAATTTCAGGGTGAGATCTATGTAGCAGCAGGTGCAGTTTTAAGAAGTTTTATCACATTTAAAGGCTGAGGAGACTATTCACCCAGCCAGCTAACATATTATAGAACATAGCAGCACCCTAAAATCTGTCACTGAGAAATTACACATGATGTATTAAATAGTTTTTCAGTAGTGAGAGTGTAAGAGTTTGATATATCTTCTTGTGCTAATCCAATGCCAGTATTAAATGAATAACCTGAATTACTCACTGTGAGAAAGAGACTGGGAATCTTTTTTTTAATGTTTACGTCTAGACATTAATAATTGGTTAATTAGCTCCTGTCATGTAAAGATACAAGTTAAGTGTTCTCACCCTCACCATCTTGGTATTTTGAAACAAAGAGCAGGAGAATCTGACTGTGAAACTAAGAACACCGTGCTTTCTCGCAGCTTGTTATTGGGCCAATTGTTGGCCAAAAAACCTTCCCTGGGTAGTGTTGTTTCTTGACTCTAATAATAACCATAATTTACAAAATTAACATAATGTTTTAATCAACAGTGACAGAAAATTTCTATTTTTTTCACCAGATGCTTCAATTTAGATACCCTTTTTAAAGTTATCAATTGTAATTCATAAGTACTTCTGTGATACTAACTCACTCTCAGAGCTGAAAGGTTTAGTACGTTTGAGTTCACACACACAGAGTTGTGCTGCAATGTTTTACAAACTGATTGTAGCTGACAGAGAGCCTGATTAGGAGTAGGTGCAGAGGAGTGGATCACAGTATCATCTGCATAAAAATGAAACTTTGCTTTAGTGATATTTTAATGGTCGTCAAACATTTCACATTTCTCTAGGGGCCACCGGCATGCAAAGAAGGCTGGCCTTACCTCGATGACACGTAGGCTCACTAGGCGAAATGACGATCCCTGTAAAGTCCAGAATACATGGCTTCCACTCGCCCAATCTTTACTCCGAAGATTTGGGCCAGCTTATGCACTCCATTCAGTCTTGAGTTGCGGTTCCTCACCCCGCAGACAGTTCAACACTTGGGTGATGAGACATAAAAGTAATCATATTCCAAATAAACAAAAAAAGAGGGAAGTGAAGCCTGTAGGTGCTTGAGTATCCTCTTCTTGAAAACCCATCATCTCACACCTGCTCCTGTCATTTCATGAAGGGCAATTTAGTATGCCTGGAGGCCCTTCAGACTAGGGCTGTGCGATATGACCAAAATCTCATATCCCGATATAAGAATTCTATCGTCCGATAACGATATAAATCACAAAAATGTATAATTTTCTGTAAATTCTGTGAATCTCGGGCAGCTCGACTTGCGGGAAGTGTTTCCAGCTGCGCGTCATGTAGCTGGAGTCGAGTGTTTTTACAGATGCATGAAACGATACATTTTTAGACATAAGTTGTAACAGCCGCCGTTTTCTTTGTATTTATTACACGGCGTGCTGCGGGGAAAAGCCTGTTCTAACGTTTGAGTCTAAGGTTTATTTTTTAGCACCTGGCGGCTCTTTTTTTTTACTTCTCATCTGTAAATAATCTGCTCTTTCACCTGCTTCAGTTTATTTTGAAAAGTCTCAACAGGATCTTGAGCTTTATTGTGAAAGGTTTATGTGGAACATAAACAAGCGGACATGCGATGCTGTTACCGTCGTTGTTGCTAACCACAACGCATAAAAACAGGCGCTTGTCCGTCTGTAGTGTGGTTATATAAAATATAAGAGAAAGAGAGAACTTTAAGAAATTAATATAGCCACTACAGTGACCATCAAAAGGATGAAAAAATATTGCCGTAAAGAGTTTATTTTGCGACACCACGAAACAAACGATAGCGTAAAATGAAACGATAGACGTTTTTATATAGTCATCCGATATATATCGTTATATCGAACAGCCCTACTTCAGACCCATACCCTTCACATCCTTGTGGCCAAATCCTTGGGTGGGTGGTACTGTGACAGTATTATGGTTGTTTATATCTAAGATAAATGGCAACAATCTTAGAACTGAATCATGGGACGCACCTTTAGTTAGATGAAGTAAAATAATATTAAGGAAGTTGATCACAGTTACACCGAACATTAGCACAAATCACAGAGAGTGAAGTCAACAGGAAAAGCACACTTATGGGGTTTTTTCAGTTGTCATGTCTGTTAACTAACGTCAGCTCTAAATATCAGATAGATGCATTTCTATAGTAAATAAATATTATTATCCTCAATTCAGTATCTAAACCTCAGCAGTCCACTGAAACTTTTCAGGAAAATAAATGGTTTATGGAACAAGGGACTGCATATGGAGACATTTGGTACAAGAGATTTTTTTAGTGTTCATGTGACTGAGATATAATCACTCTTGGCAACATAGTATTCTTAATTTCTATCTTGGCTGTATGCTGTCAACAGCCACCCGCGCACACAAACTATTGTTCTTTGTTCCCTCATTAATCATCATTCGTCTGCATGTCTCTGACTCTCGCAGTGTTATCATGGGTCAGTGATGTGATCATGCCTTCTGCATACACAACCGTAGCTGTTACAGTGACACTTGTGGACAGATGGCTTGAAAATACACTGAACCTGACCTGCTGTGTGTGAACACAGTGTGCAAAGATATTTCCAAAGTATGTGTGTGGGGGGTTCCTGCTTTTATGCCTTAAAAGCATGCTGGGGAAGAGAGATTTCTTTAGTAAAAAAATAAAAATAAAAAGACTGCCTTTATTTTAGATCTGCCTGCCTCTATTAGTCCAAATCTGCTGCTATGCACGTTTTGTTATTTTAATAAGAACATTTTTAATTTGTAATGGCTCTCACCTCCTGGATTTGCTTCATATTTGGTATTTAGTAAATTATAGGTGAAGTATTATAGCTATTTGTTTTGGTCGTGAGGATTCAGCTAGATAGTGAATCTGTCTGATGGAGGCATGTTGGGTTTTTTTTTTTTGTTGTTTTTTACCTACACGCCCTTTCCCTTCCTACAGTGGTGAGGAGGCTAATGACCTTTGACAGTGTCTGCCAAGAGCTCAGCTTCCTCAGCTGAAGCCAGGTGGTGCAGGCATTTTGCGACCATCTGTAGATACAACTACCTCTATCAACTGCAAGTAAAATTGAGGGCCAGTGTTTTTAAGGATGTGGGTTTTCTTCTTTTCTTCTTGTTTTAAGAACCAGTTAACAGTAGACAATACAGTTGTTTGAGATTTTTGAGATGTCTCGTGTGATTTATAGGAAAAGACAAGCAGTGGTTCTTTGTCAACAGATTAAAGGAGCAAACTGAGCAGACTGTTTAGCATGGTGTACTTTGATAATAAACCTCGGAAGGACAGAGCAGCTCAGACACAGCGCTGTTCAGGATTAAATAAGGAGAAGTCTGCGATCACACAGTGGAGTTAAAAGCTGCTGTTTATGACTCGAATTACATCAATGGCACAGTGGAACTGACTAAACCGTTTTTTATACACCCAATCTTTTTATGTTTGATCTATGTCTTAATTGGTATATGAGTTAAAGCTGGACCTGAATATTCATCTATTCAGATTTGCATTAACATTTTCCTCTTGGATGAGCAGTTCGCTCTCAGTTATGTATACCCTAGTAACTTCATAGATCTTGTTGTATTATAACTTTAACTAATAGCTGTCCCTGGTACCAGGCTCCTTGCACTCTTGCTTCTGTTAACTTTATTGAAGAGTAGTGTGTTTTCAGTTTTACCTAAATCCAGTAGTTTTGGGCAAATTCGCACATAAATATTTGTGTTGATTGTGAGATTTGTGAAGTCAGACACTTTTCTCTAGTAAAGCAAACTGCAATCCTCCCCTGAATTATCATATTTTATTCAGATAATGAGCACAGAGAAGCAGAGCTACTCCTAGATGGGTCTGTTGCTAGTGTTTGTATACGATCATGTGAGAAGGACAACAAGGTGCTGAGTGAAATGATTACACTCAGTGCTAATCATCAATAAAATGAGATTTAAATGGTTTAAAAAAACAGAACATCATTAGAAGAAAGCTGGTCAGTTATTTGTGGCATCTCGCAAATAACTGAGATGCCACAAATAACTGAGTATATGGGAAACATTGCCTATTTTCCATATATGCTTCCCAGGTAATGTTTCCAGGAAAATACTGCCGATAGGTCTATATACATCACAAATGGATGGATTAGCTGATCTATATTAATATTGAAATTATTTTTCCTCTCTCTAAAAATGATAAATGTCCTAAGAATCCAGTTATAGTTGGGGCCAAATTGCAAAGATCCTGCCAAATCACAGCACAACATTCATTTTTCATACATTTTGCCATGGAGATTTTTCTACATCAGTGGTTCTCATATTTTCTAGCATGCTACACTTGAAGTGAAACATAGTTCACACCCCTCAATTTATAAGTTGTTAACAGTAATGCAGGTTGAATTATAGTTAAAGGTTAGCACAAAAGCAGCAGTAAACCGTTGTCCTTATTTTCCCTACAATTTATCAGGCTTAGTTTCTCTCCATGTGTCAACAGTCCTCAATCGTGGTATATGTGGTTTAAAAAAAAGAGGTTTCATAGCCTGTTATCACTTATGTTTCTCTGAAACTGAAGATAGACGTTAAGTATGAGCTAAGAATAAGTAAAGGCCCCTTACCATACATATGGCTCCTATAGCTCTTGCTATAGCATCTGTACAGCTATGTACAGATGCTACCTGACTGTGCAAACAGTCAGCTCATTAACAGCCAGCAGCCGTGTTCAGAGTAGTATAGTGAGTAGAGACAGATAATTGCAGTGGAGGATGACAGACATTTAGAGAACATCACCTGAAACTCTGCCTCTAGTCAGTATTGACTTTGTATTGATAGTCTTTTTTCAGCTTTAGTTGTATTGTTGTCCTTTGTAACCTGTCATGTTTTTTTGCTGTATTGTTAAACCTTCCCTTTTCTACAACATTATATTTTGGGGTAAAATGTAAATCCTAGAAGAAATGTGAGGAACAGAGGCATGGGAAGAAACCAGATGGACAGTTAAGGCTCGAGGAAGAGAAATAGAGAGATGAACTGTCAGAGAGAAAAGAGGAGAGCATGACTGGTGGTGGAGGAAGTGATGTGAGCAGGCTTCAGGGGTAAAAGACAAGGATCAAAAGCTCACTGAATAGATTTTTTTTTGCTTCCCTGAGACACTATGTGCTGGCAGCCAGCTGTTTCAGTTCAGTGAGCATGTATGTGTGCTAGTGCGCTTGTGTGCGAGACAGAGAGGAGGAAATAAAAAGGCATTTTTTGCAGAGTAGTGCCTCCGTATTTTGTCTAGCATTGTCAGGATTAGAGGTGTCTGTTTAATTAACAATGCATTTTATTTTCTTGTATTGCCCTCTCTCACACTCATCCCTTATCTTTTTTTTTTCTTTGGCTCTCTCTGCACTCAAGTACTCAAATTACTCAGAGCTACATTTCACAGAGTCCTGTTTTCAGGTCATTGCTTTCTCAACTCTTCAGATTTTGGAGGTAACCTGTCTATTTGGTGTTTATGTGTTGCCAAGTGAGAAAAGATTCTCATTTCTCAAGGCATCAAGGCCTTTCCAGCATATAAGCACTCAAAGGAATGCATCTATTCGCAGCAGGTCTGTTTGCGGACACCCACTATTGTGACTGTGGAGTGTAGTTGCAAACATTTCTCACAAGAAAGTTGTTCAGATCCTTCATGGTTCAAGACTGTATGGATTGGTTTCACTGTTTAGTATTATTCTTCTCTTTTCTTTTTCATAGGCACTCCACCAGTTGTACTATGACCCTAATATAGAAAACAAGAATCTGGCCCAGAAATGGCTAATGCAGGCTCAGGTCTCGCCTCAGGCCTGGCAGTTTTGCTGGGCCCTCCTGAGCCCAGAAAAGGTACATGGTACACAGACTCTCACAAAGACACACATAGATAGAAGAAACTAAGATATTTTCTGTAATTTGCATCCATCTTTTCTTCGTTCACAGGTTCCAGAGATCCAGTACTTTGGCGCTAGTGCACTTCACACCAAGATCTCTCGGTACTGGTCAGATATCCCCACAGACCAGTATGAGTCTCTGAAGAGCCAGCTGTTCTCCCAGATTGCCTGCTTCTCCTCTGGCTCCAAGATGGTGCTCACAAGGCTGTGTGTGGCATTGGCCTCTCTGGCACTCAATACCATGCCTGAGGCCTGGCCTGGCGCAGTGGCAGAGATGGTGCGAGTGTTTCAGGAGGACGGGGGAGGAGTGGACGGACGGGCACGCTGCCTTGCATTGCTAGAGCTGCTCACTGTCCTGCCTGAGGAGTTCCAGACCAGCCGTCTGCCCCAGTACCGGAAAGGACAGGTATCTCTCCAGGCATCCCTTTCTCCTATCTTTGCATCCACTGCAGGTTTCCCTATATTAAATATTTTTTTAAATTTTTAACTCTTTTACTCTGTCCATGCATCTTCAGAGTGTTAATAGTGCTTTATAAGATTTTTTTTGTTGTGGAAATGTGGAAAATTTAAAAAACTTAAACGGCTCACATGCCAGTAGCGACTTCTTGTAGTATTTTATGCAGCCCATGTATTCAACCAGAGTTCATTTTATGCTATGATATGACAACACAAGACTAAGAAAGCTTTAACATTTTTTGCATTTTAGCTACCTCACATTTCTTTCTTTCTTTTATTAAATGTTTTTGAACAACAGTTCTTTCTTTTGACTGGATTTTTTAACTACAGAGATGTTTGTGAGAAAACAATGGTTTATATTCCAAAAAGTATGGTATCCAAGTATTTTATTGCCACCAAAATAAAAGAGACAAATACTAGACCTAAACAAAGCTTTAGCAGTATTAACCCTTTTTATCATTCTCACTCTAGGTTCGGGGAGCCCTGGGACGGGAGTGGGGGTCAGTGTGTCCCTTACTGCAACAACTACTGCGGCGGACAGACAGCCCGGGAGCCGTGAAAGCTCGCGTGCTACGTTGCCTGTCATCGTGGGTGCTGCTAGATGTGCCCCTCAGCGAGAGTGAAGGCCTGGTGCACGACTGCTTTAGTGCCCTGCCCGACCCAGAGCTCTTCGACACAGCAGTAGAGGCAATAGTCAATGCCATCTCGCAACCCGACTCCCAAAGGTGTGTACAAATGTTTGTAAATGTGCATTTATGTTTACCCATTAAAATGGGATTATAACTATAAGACGACATGATAACTATACTGCTACACAAAAGGTTGTGAGGAACTGGTGAAAATACACTGGAGACAAAATGAAAACAGTGAAAGAGAGAGATGAAAAAATCAGTAGCTTAGGGCTGAGAGCAGACAGGGTGGGCACTGGAAGGGCACAAGGGAGGGATGGAAAGAAAGAAGGAAGGAAGGAGGGAGGGATTGATACAGGGCAATCTGACAGCCAGGGGGAGGAGAGCGGCATTTCTCGGTTGGCTGGCGTTGCTATGGTTACAGAGCTGGGGAGAGATGTCATCATGCCCCGGTTGATTCAGACATAGCAGGCACCCATTACCCCTCCCCTTAGAGACAGAAATCTAGAGGGAGGGGGCGATGGGGCGATGCAAAGAGAAGAAAGGATGCTAAGAGACAGGGGAGGGCAAGGGAAGGTGTGAGATGTGTGGAAGGATAAAAGGCTTCATCCTCCATACCTCTGCACGGCTGCACAGACAGAGGGTTGGACCTGTGAAGTTACTGTTGACAATTTGTTTTAAACAACCTGACATTATTCCTAGCAGATGGTAGGAGGACAATTAATGGCAGTGGAGTTACAGGTAGAACATCTTCAGTCTCAACATGACACACACAGCATAAAATAAGTATTTCCAGGCTCCTAGAATAGACTGTTACAAATGTTATCCTTCTGATTTCTTCTGATTTCCTTTTTTTCAGTTATGTTTTTGTTTTTTCTTTTTTTAATGTCATGGTTGTCAGCTCCTCCCAGAAGTCATGTCTTATTAGAAGCGTCTCCTGAGACACATGTGGCCGCTGGTTTTGTTGGTCCATTGTTTAATCATAAGGTTAAAGTAACTCCATAAAATAGTATCTGTTCATTAATGAATGAAAGACAAGGAAACGAATAAATCTGTTTTTCCATTATCCCTTAAAATACTGTCAAAGCCCACATTTTTTTCCATCCTTCACAATCGCTTTTTTAATTCTATTTTATCGCTTCTCTCACTCTACCTCTGATTCTTTGTGCTCTTCTTTTCCCCTTTCTCATCTCTCTCATCAGCACTAAGCCCTCCTCCCTGTCTCTTGTTCTCTCTTTCTGTTTAAACACATTACAGTCAACTCATTTAGGGGGATGCTATTGGTCCAGCTGCATCCTGTTGCCAGGCAACCCATTTCCCCTGTCTCAGAGTGTTGCAGTAATTGCAGAGGGGATCAGAGGTGGGGAGAGGGATGTGGGGGGGGAGGAGAGCTGGAATGAGAGGGAGAGAATGAAGGCGGAGTCAAGAAAGGCAGAAAGTGTATAACATCATGGTAGGAGCTAAAGAGAAGAGGAGATAACTATAAGCGAGCGGAGAGGAGATTGCAGCAGGCTGTCTCAGAGGAATCTCCAGAATGTCATCTCAAGTAAAGGAAGTGGGGAAATGCATACAAATTCATTCTTCCCTTTTAATCACATGACATGCACACCAAGCCTTCCTTTTCTGAGCTAAAAGTGCATGACCTGCATTTGCAAAGCACCTTATTAAAAATGAATGATCTTCTGAGTGCATTAGTGCAGTCTACCGGTCACATGTACACACACGCGTGCTCGCACAGTCAGTTAGGTTAAGTGCAGTTCTCAGTGCAACTCATAGCATTACTTAGACAGCTGAACACAGGATCTAGGCCAATAGATGTACAGGTATGAGATTATTAGATGGAGGCCATATTCATACACATGTGCTTCACAACAGGGTGGATCTCACTCAAGAAAAGGCTGAGTCAGCATGGGCAGCTTAATAGAGGGCTGGACTTCATACAGGACCATAGAACCATCTGCTTGACTCATAAAAGGGTCCTAAAGAAATTAAAATAATAAATCCTTTCTATGACCGCAGCAAGGGATACATTTAACGTGCAACACAGGAGGTACATTGCAAGGGGGGTCGGGTGGGTCTGGACACTTTTCCTGTGGCTGCTGTTAAATTACCACTGAGAAATATTTAATTAGTCAACATAGACAGGAAATCCATGTAGCTATCACAATTTAAAGATGACTTTTTTTTTGCGTATGTCAAATAGATGTTTTTTGTTATTGTTGTTTTTTTAAAGATTAAAAAAACATTACTGGCAGATACTGATAATGGAAATAATAGTCAGTTGTGGCCTTAGTGTGCTTCTCTAGTGCTCTAATCTAACCTACAGTTGATTAGGTTGAAATATTTGTTGTTGTTTTTTTATAATTTTGTGTGCTTTTCCAAATGCCGGTATAGTCCCACAACCTTGCTCTGTCATTGATAAATATTCATCGACCTGGACCAACCTCCGTATTGACTTTCTCGTAAAAGATGAAGCACAGGCTGCATGCCACAAAAACCCAGTGGGACACACGTAATATGGTTTACATGTATAGCATTCACTCATGCACATAATCTTCTAGTTGACATTCAGGAGCCCTTCATCTCCAAATGTCACTCTTTTTCTTGCTGTCATTAAAGACGACAGGAGAACTGATGTTGGATGATGTCGTCACATGAGCAGCTGTGAGGGGAGCATGTGGTGCCGTGTGTCACGTCATACGGGTCTTTTAGCCAGAGTGAGGGAATTATAAATGGCTGAGACAGCAGGAAGAGGACAGAATCAAATTTGACAGCAGTGAAGCTGTGAGAAGAAGCTCTGAATAGATTTTCTGGTGGGATTTTTACGGTGGGTGTGCTAGATCAGAGGTTGGACTAACTTGGACTGAGATTTGATTTGAAATAAACACTTGTCTTGGAAAGGAGCAATAAATACATCAACCTAGCTGTGAGCAGTGTGAGTCAGGTTGATATACACCAGTTGAGAGTCCCTAGCCTTGCATCCTGTGTTTTATCTGCTGTATTAAAAAAAAAAAAAAAAAAAAATCATTTTTATTAAACTTTGCAGTTTCATAAATACTGATTGTAGATGTTCTTTGTATTCGTTTGTGTTTATGGGTTGCAGATATGTGAACACTTTGTTGAAACTGGTCCCTCAAGTGCTGGCACTCCAGGAGCAGCTCAGAGAGGCTGTTCAGAATGGAGACATGGAAACCTGCCACGGTATCTGCCGGATCGCCGTCACATTGGGAGAAAACCACTCCAGGTGTGTGTCTATTATAGCACAAACACTTAAAAATAAAGTGATCTTGGTCAGTATTGTTGCTATTAATATTTCAAGAAATTACTTGTCCTTGAAATTTTGAAAGTGGCACTACCTTAACCTACCTTCTTAGGTTACAGGAAATACGAGTTATTTAGTTATTTTTTGAAGTGGTCTTTACCTTTTTGTGTTTCCACACATAAAGGTAAGCATGGTTTTGGGGGAAGGGACTTCTGAGTGGCCATGAAAAAAATCTTAAAAAGCACTTTTTGTTAGTTCAATTTAGATAAGACAAACAACACAAACGGTATTTAAAAGTGAATCTAGATTAAAAAAAAAAAAACAACAACAACAAAAAAACCCCCTCTAATATTAATATAGAGTCCAGAGCAGCATTGGAATTGAAAAAGTGAGAAGAAGCAGGCTGTGGTGGTTAAGCAGCCTAGAAAGTGAATGAAGAGCAGAAGAGGTATTATACAAAGCACTGAATTGGAGAACTGCTTTTTATTTTCTGATTGGTTACTGTGCATATTCTAACACAGCCAACCCCAACACGGTCATCCTGGAAGGTGCAGCTTGCAGAATTTTCAGAGCCAAAGACCAGGCTTCATCTTCATTCTTTATATACAGGCCTCATCCTATCCTCAGTGGCTGCTTTGTGTGTCTGATTCGGTGCTGTCACGCAGACGTGCATCTCTGACAAAGACAGGGAACAGAAAAGAAAGATGGAGACAGCTGAGACATAACCTCATCACTTTTCTTTCTTTCTTTTTTTTAAATAAATTCCTGGGTGTGAAAACAGCTTCTACAACAATAGCAGACTAATTTCCATTTTCATGGGTCTTCACTGCAGCAGAGTTGCACGAAAACAATGCTTTTTCAAAGTCTTTACAAAGTTATTGAGAAAAAAACTTCCTCCTACTTTGGAGTTGGGATGGGTACCGGTATCCGGTGCCATTATGGCAAGTGTAGTAGGCGGGCCCTTTTAGAGCAGAGCTACAGATTAAAAATGCCCAAGGTGAAGGGTCAAAGTCTGGCTGTACTTCACAGCAAAAGATGCAAACTCAGCAGCCTGCAACAAGTGCTTTAAGGTGATACTGTGCAAAGGAGGTGACTCCTCGAATCTGATGAAACACCTGGTGACTTATAGCATTTTGTTAAAAGCCGAGAAATGCGCCGTATTTGATAGCTTGCTGCGAGACCTCACATCGTGCACATCTACTGCGCATGGGTTGCCTGTGACCCGGAGTTAGCAACATCCCCCAAAAACCCAAAGAGGAGAGTCCTGGCCCCTAGCCCTGCCAGTGCAGCAGAAATGATGATGGATGATGATGCAGCAGCAGCCGTTCTTCTCTGCGTGAGTAGCTTAATGTTGTTCATGTGTAATTTACGTTGAGTAGGCTAAACACGTTATTACATTAATGCACGTAAGGTGAACCAGCAAACACCGTCGTAGTTACATGCGGCTGTCTTCTTTTTTGATTACAGATACTCCCTTCACCCTGGCCAAAAAGGCTAAAATGACCAAAGAAAAAGTGGAAAACAGTTAAACATGAGAGGTTTTTGGACGAAGTTTGTGTTTTTTCCATTGATTAAGCACTGCTTCCAGCCAAGAGTGATGCCATAAATCCCCTATAGCGGCAGAAAAGGCTAACATTGTTATCTTTTTACAAAAAAACAGCTGAACATGAGGTTTTTGGACCAATTTTGTGTTTTCCATTCTTTAAGCACCGGTTCGAGCACCGTTTAAGCACCGGCACAGTTTCAAAAGTACCGGTTTGGTACTGGTACAGATAAAACCTAAACGATACCCATCCCTACTTTGGAGGGGAATAAACCCCCAATTAAATCTTGGTTTTTACTGAGCTCAGTTTGTATGAAATAAATCATGCTTTAAACTGTCTTTACACTGTCAGCGTTTTATGTGTTGTTTAAAGAGAGGAGTAGTCTAGTTTAAATGTGTACTAACTTCACTGTGCACTTGCCAAATCACACCTTTCTTCTATCTCTTTCTTTTTCCCTTTACACTCGTCTCTCCCACTCTCTCCAGGACTCTGTTGGAGCAGGTGGATCACTGGCAGAGCTTCTTGGCTTTAGTCAACATGATCATGTTTTGTACAGGCATCCCTGGCCACTACCCAGTCAATGAGACAACGAGCTCCCTCACACTCACCTTTTGGTACACGTTACAAGTGAGTGATGTTCAAATCAGATCTGTACCTCAAGGTTAGATTCTTACAGTATATAAAATGTGTTTATGGGTAATCCCAGTAAGTCTAGATGTTTCTGCTAGTCATGTCTTTACTGGGCATTCAAAACCATCCCTTCCATTAAGTTTTGCTACCTCTTCCATAGTATCACAAAGCTTGCAATTCACTTTTAACAGACTTCATGAGAACATGAGTCATTCTGCACTTCATATTGCACAAATAAACTCTTCTTCGGGCTGTCATAGGTCTTTGTCTTCATTTTTTAAATTATTAATTGCAGCTCTGAAATCATTGGGTTTTGTCTTCTATATTATCTGTTTCATGGTTGGTTTCTATTTGCAGAGCTTGGGTAATTGTGTTATTATTGTAAAATCTAAACTATTAACCAAAATCAGTTCTTGTTTTTTTGTGAACTTTGTGTGAGTCAGATAGATACCTTGGAAGTATTTCAGTCATTTTATGTAAAAGACCATCGATTTGATTCTTCTTTATCTCTTTCTTCTCAGGATGAGATCATGTCATTTGAGTCAGACAAACAGGCCGTATATCTGCAGGTCTACAGGCCAGTGTATTTCCAGCTGGTGGATGTCCTGCTGCACAAAGCCCAGTTCCCCTCTGATCAGGAGTATGCATCCTGGTCCTCAGATGAAAAAGAGCAGTTCCGAATCTACAGGTGTGTTTGTTTGCTTTTGTGTTTGCGCATTTGTATGCATGGATATGACTCAGTCTATTGTACAAGCCTGTTTGTGCCACTGCTGTTGTGTGCAAGTGTTTCGGTGATGGTCTAAGAGTTTCAGAAATTACTCACTGACAGGATGATTGGTCAACAAATGAGCATGTATTCCTCTAATAGACTCTCACTGAACTGACAGCTGAGAGGGCAAAACCTGTCTTGTAAACAGATCAATGGATAAGGTTTCTAGAGTCCGTGCCCCTAAAATGTCTGTCTGTGCACGTTTGTCCTTCAGAGTGGATATCTCAGACACACTCATGTATGTGTATGAAATGCTGGGATCTGAGCTGCTGAGTAACCTGTATGACAAACTGGGAAGATTGTTGACTAATGCAGAGCAGCCTACATCATGGCAGGTGGGTGAGACATAGACACATAAACAAGCAAAGAAGTAATCTAAGCTATTTTCAGTTTCTTTCAGTGTTGCAAAAGAGCCTGGACTGAAAATGTGTCATGGCAGATATAATTCTTTTTTGAGGCTAGCACCTGTAGACTTATATAACGTAAATAGACGTAAAAGCGAAATGTGTAATCACAAAAACAAAAAACATTTTGATTTCAGTTTTGAATTATTTTTTCTTTCCAATGTTTTATTTATTTATCACTTCTTCTTCTTTTAATCCATTCCTTAAGCTATTATAATTGCGTCACCTTTCTTATTTTGTACACAAATACATTGATACGCTTCTTCTTCCTCCTTCAGCACACAGAAGCTTTGCTGTATGGCTTCCAGTCCATAGCAGAGACGATAGATGTGAATTACTCTGACGTTATCCCAGGCTTGATAGGTCTCATCCCCAGAATCAACATCAACAACGTCCAGTTAGCAGACACAGTGATGTTCACAATAGGTAAGACAATAAAGATAATAAAATGAATATCAAATGTAAATAATGGTAATTCATGTGACTAGACAGTTGTGGTGCATACAGAAAAAACACACAAATAGTTTGTTGATCTGTATCTGAATTCTAGGTGCTCTCGCTGAATGGTTGGCAGACCACCCAGTGATGCTTAGCAGTGTCCTTCCCTTGGTGCTACAAGCTTTAGGAAACCCAGACCTTTCTGTGTCTTCAGTGTCAACCCTCAAGAAAATCTGTAGGGAGTGCAAATATGACCTACCCCAATATGCGACAAACATAGTCGCTGTCTCACAGGTGTGTGGATATTATACGCTTGTGTACTTTCTTCCAAATTGTTCCAGGATTTAAGAAGTTGATAATCTAACTGCTTCCTTCTTCGTTTTTGGAAGCTAAGGTGTTGCAGATTTTTGTAATGTTCTTGTTTTCCAGAAATAAGTACACTTTGAACTGACTTCAGTTGGATTATTTTGGATTACTTTTTTATTGCTATTTTGAGATGTTTTTGTTGAGCTCTCAAAATCATACAGCCTTCTTTCTCTCTCTCTTTTTTTCCATCAAGGAGGTGCTTATCAAGCAGATACACAAGGTCAGTATTTACCGTGTCACGTTCAGTCTCTGTTTCTGTCTCTGTCCTGGCACTCAGTTTAGAAGTGACAATTAAATGAGAAAAGCTGTGAAAGGATTATGTGACATGTTTGCAGCCTGTAGTCTGAAGATTATGTGTTGTGCAACAATCTGTTAGCTATGTCTGTATAGATCTTTGTGATGATTTAAAGCTTGCTTAAACTAAAGCTAAACCTGCGATTCCTTCCTCTTGCAGACAAGTCAGTGTATGTGGCTCATGCAGGCTCTTGGCTTTCTGCTCTCTGCTCTCCCCGTGGAAGACATCTTAAGAAACCTTCACTCTCTCATAACCCCCTACATTCAGCAACTGGAGAAACTAGCAGATGAGACGGTACGTATACAAACCAACGTGAAACGGCACACACAAACAGAACGCAGGCACAGTTGGATTCTGGCCAATAGGAACAGGCCTTGTGTCTGTGTGGTGTCACTGCAGTGGAACATATCTCTGCGGGACCAGATTGGATTTGACCCTGCACCATGGGCTAGTGACTCACATGGAAGTAGCAAAGACACCCTTTCTCTTACTCATGGAAACATCCACAGGATAAAAGCAGAGTTGGGAAAATAAAATTGCCTACACCAATGTACTTACAGTAGGTCATGCTTGTGAGCAAACAGTCAGGCAAAAGAAAATTCATGACTCTGTTTAAATGTTACATCCAATAAACTGTCATACTGGATAGTACAAATATAGAGCTGTTCCTGTCTAAAAATAGTCTGATATTTACTGTTTGTGGAACAGAACAGGTTTTCTCCTGATCGCTTGTTTTTGTGTGTGGTATTGTTTGTTTTTATCAGTACAGACCCTGGATGGGCTGAATAGAGATGTCAGTTTAGATGAAGCTTTTCATTTCTGTGTCTGTCTCTGGCCCTGTCTCACCTCCCATCCTTCACAAAATATGCACACACAGTCAAACCATGTCTTACCCATCCTCGTTTCCTCCCCCTCTTATTGTTTTCTGTCTTGCTTTTTGATGTATCGGCATTACATCAGACTAGGAAATCAGGTGGTGTCTGGTGCCGGACAAATAGTGGCACCTAGTGGGGAGACCTTCGGGTTGCATTACGTCAGGGGTGAATGACCATGACATGTGATGGGGGAATAAATAACTGATGGAGGCACTTGGGGGCTGTTGAGAAGCATTTGTCCATGAACTGTAGTTCAGCTGCAGTTGTTGCAGGATTAGCATGGGACTGTCAATGGATTTGAAGGAGACATAAAAGATGTGGCTCTTAGAGGGTGTGGCAACTACATGTTTGTTCTCTTTGTTGCAATTTGGTTGTTACATCTCCACCAAAAATGGCAATTATTAACCACTGCCTGTGAAACTCCTACTAATGTTTTTACCTGTGATGGTGTGTTTGTGCTAAGTGTGTTTGCATGGGTGGGTGTGATGATGCCTTTAAGAAAAGTGGTATGACAACAAGACAAAAAAAAATTTTAATTATTTTTTTCACTTGAAATTGTAATTGAAAATATGATAATTTAACAGTTTAATTGTAAAGATATAAATATGAAAGAACAAATTTAACCTAACCGTAACATTGAGTTTATTATTACTGAATAGATTATTTAGTGTCAAATTTCATTTATTGTTTTTATTTACACTTCACTTCTTACCGCCTTGAATTGTTGATACCTTTGAATCATTCTTAAAACTGTTTCTTCTGTTCGCAATTGTAATTGTGCCAACATGTCTTAGTTTTCAAGATTTGTTTGTGTCTTAAATAATTAAGCAGTTATAGATTTCAAGGCTGACACTAATGCTCTTAGTCAGTCTGGGTCCCGGCATTAGGTTGTAAATGAGCAAATTTCCAATTAGAAGTAATCTGTTTCTCTTTTTTCGTTGTTCCTTCAGCCTAATCCTTCTAATAAGTTAGCAATCATCCACATCCTGGGGCTGCTGTCCAACCTATTCACTACGCTCGACATTAGCAAGCAGGATGACGAGTCAGCGGATGGCTCAGCACCACCTGTCAAAACAGCCCCACCTCCACCAGGACCAAACCCGGTCAGTCACAGCACACAGTCATCACTTTAATTAGAAGTGTTGCGTGAATGAACAGTTTCTATGGCTGTCGTCAATGAGCTGAATCTGTATTTGTCAGATTTGAGCTAATATAAACACAGAGAGTGTACCATTTTACAGATTTATAGCATGATACACTCTAGTTAAGTAGACATGGAAAGCAGTGAGATGCATAGCCCTTGCAGCCGTTTGACTTTAATTCTCTACAACCCAACCCGTGCTGTCTCCGTCACTGAACACATCAGGATGTCACTGAATAAACTCATGACTGGGGATTTATACTTCTATTTATAACAATAACAATCATAGCCGCACTATATGGACTCACAGATGTCAGCAGATTATGGTTAATGATGTCTGTGTGTTTCAGGTCGTGGTTGTTTTGCAACAAGTTTTTGCTCTCATACAGACGGTACTCAGCAAGTGGCTCAACGACTCACAGGTTGTAGAGGTGAGTTGTTAAGATGTGCAATGCATGCCTTTATATTTTGTCTATATTTTATGTAGCTAATCCTGTAATATCCCTCAGGCGGTGTGTGCCATCTTTGAGAAGTCAGTGAAAACTCTCCTTCATGACTTTGCTCCCATGGTTTCTCAGCTAAGTGAGATGCTTGGGCAGATGTACAGTACCATTCCGCAGGCTTCAGCCCTTGACCTCACCCGACAGGTACACACACATCTTTTCATTTGCTTTTAAAGCTCTAACGCTTTGTTAAAAGTGGTAGTGTAGGAGTTACAGAGCTATGTGCCAGCAAGTCCAAGGTTAATGAGAATGCTAAATAACATTGTAAGTCATGATCCAGAGTTTTGGTATTTATTCATCACCAGACTTTCTAGTAGGATTTATGTTGCCACATAACTGAAACATGTTTTTATTACTGATTACATTTTCCTTCAGGAGGTTAAGCAAGAACACTATGAACCTATTAAAAGCAGTTACTGACAGTTTAGTGCTATTTATAATGTCAAATAAATGTGTTAGGTTTTTACTCCGCAGAAAAAGGTCTGGTGTATTTATTTACAGATGGTATTTAGTCCGATTTTTTTATTATTTGCAGCTTCACAGCATATGTTTTAAGTTAAAGTTTGTAGCCTAAGCAGGAAGGTTTCTGCAGAAGAAACCTGATTTTTCTTTTTTCTTCCTTTTTTTTTTTTTTGTCCGTTTCTTTTAAAACTCAAATGCAAGTCCAGTTGAACGTGTGAATGTCTACTTACTAAACAAGTGTCAATTATGCCAATTTCCACAGATAAGAAAAATCCAGAAATACTGGAGGAATTAAAAGTAATAATACAAAGCTTGTTTTTTATCTCTCCACTGGGTAACAGTAAAGAAAGAAAATAGAAGAATATGTGCTTGCCTTCTAAAATGAATCTAAAAAAATCCCTCCAGTCCCCAGCCACTTTGTTCGGTACACCTGTTCAGCTGCTCATTAACACAAATATCTAATCAGCCATCATGTCAGCAGCTCAGTCAGTTTAAGCAAGTGGACATGATCAACATGACCTGCTGAAGTTCAAACTGAGCATCAGAATAAGGGGTAAAAAGCTGATCTAAGTGGCTTTGATTCTGGTGTGGACAAGCTGGTGCGAGTATTTCAAAAACTGCTGATCTACTGGGATTTTTGCCACACAACTGTCTCTGAGGTTTTCAGAGAATAGTCCAAATGCCTTGTTGATGCCTCAGGTCAGATGGGAATTGCTGGACTGCTTCAAGCTGATAGCAAGGCAACTCAAATTACCACTTGTTACAAGCAAGGTCTGAAGAACATCTCTGAAAGCAGAACACATTGAACCTTGAAGCAGATGAGCGTTTGCAGCAGCAGGTCACACCAGGCATCACTCCTGTCGGCAAAGAATGAGAAACTGAACATAAAATTTATAAAACAGTCTCACAAAAATGTCATGAATATGAACCAAAATCTCTGAGGAATGTTTCCAGCACCTTGTTTAATCTATGCCACAATTAATTAAAGCAGTTCTGACAGGAAAAGGGGGCCGAGCTCAATACTAGTGAAGCCTACCTAATAAAGTGTCTGGCAGTCAGTAATTATCTGGTTAGTTTGTTGCCTGTTTAAAGTCCTTTCTTCATACTGCAGCCTGTTTTCCTTTGAGTAACCCAGTTTTTTATGTGTAAGTAAAAATAGTTTTTAATGTGAGGCCCTGCTGTTTCAGATGGTGCATATCTTTGCCAGTGAGACAGACCACTTCCCACCCATCAAGGCTCTGTTTGAGCTGGTTACTTCGGTAACACTGTCCATCTTCCAGCAAGGTAGGGGGTCCTGCAGGGGCGGGAGTGTCAGTAATATAAACGGTTTCTGTTAAAATCAGGTAGGTTTTTTTCTGAAAAAGACAGAAAAGCTGCACATTATTTGGCTCTAATTTAATAGTTAGTTAATCTTTCCTTTACATTCTGCAGAGGTAGACCTTTAAATCGTGGACGTATAATTTTCACAACATATTGTGATTTATTTTGGGGGTTTTTTTGTCAGGCACCTAAAAAAAAAAAAAAAATTGCCTGAATGTGCACATGCTCCTTTTTTGAGTACATGTTTCTAGTCGTATTTGATTTGACAGTTTTTGATTTGGTTTAGCAGAGGTGGTTTTATTTCATGTCCATTGATGCTTCCTGCTAAGAATACTTGTGCAACATAGTAGATTTTGCTAACAGGTCAGCCTGGGAGCATAAAAAAGAAAACAACAAAAAAGGTTACAGGTCATCGGACTCCACAGTCGACCTTTAGACATTCACTCTAATTACTCAATAATGTGAGCGGAGTTGTCTGTCTGCTTGGTGTGTTGACAGAGAGTCATAAAAGCAGACCTTTTTTTCCACTTATGATTCAAGTCATTTTCAGATTATTGCTATCTGCTACTATCTTGTAACAGTTGAGATGTTGTCATGATTCTGTTCAATAGGGGAATTTATTTATTACATTTATTTGTCTTTTACATTTACAAACCAATGTAAGTATTTCATTGAGGAAAAGTTTCCTCATATGCGTAACCCGGGGGCTAGAGTGATTATTAAATATTTGACATAAATGGACATCTTCGAGTCGATATCTCCTCTTTCATTAAACATGGCTTTGAGTATTGTTGCCAAGTCTGTCTGATACTCCCCTTCCCTTTGTGTTGTCCCCTTTTCTTCTCCCCCTTTTCCTGTTTTGACTGATTAAGTAATGGCTGCCTCTCCTCCCTCCTCTAAACTCTTGTTTTCTGAGCAGGTGTCCTGCAGTAGTATTAGTACTGGATACAGTCACAGCAAAAAGACTAGCTTTTTTCAGTTGACATATAACATAGCAGGGAGGGCTTGCTCCATACGACTGCAACCACTGTTGTCCAAGAATTAGTCAGGCTCACTATCACAACCCTTTTGAATAATCCTGAATTGTCTCGGAAGTGTTCCTGTGTGGTAGTGGGCTGGAGGAGGGTATCGAGCAGGAAACTTTGTTTGGAGTCTGGGAACAGCCAAAGCTGGGCGCTCACTACATCTGTTTTCTTTTATCCAGAAAAAAGAAAAAGTTGGAGTCCTTCCAACGTCAACCTTTCGCTATTGGATTGATCCCGAAAGTCAAAAATTTCAATGTGGATTCTTCCGCTTTTACAAGAGATGTGTGTTTAACTCTGCATCATATGTTTTCAGAGCCTTGTAGTCTGTGTCCAGCATAAAGGGAGGTCGTGATAAGTGAAGCTGTCCTTAATGTTAAATGTGATTCCTATTGATGCTGTGGGCTCTCATTTGAACCAATGGGGATGTTATTGACTAGTGCTGAATGGACCCTTTACAGTAACCTTCACCTCTGAGGTGCTCGTTTAAATGAGAGGAAATGCTTTGCTTGCTATTTGATGGTGTTGATGTCGGCGGCGCCTCATGAGGAGGAGATAAAAGAGGGTTCATTCTGGTTTGGTGCCTTTTTTTTTCTCCTTGTTTTTTCTTCCTCCAAGCTGTAACAGTAACAGAGGTGCCTCCTGGGTTCCCACTCCAAACACACTTTTGTTCTTTTAGGTTTGTTCTTTTTCTCTCGTTACTTCTTTCCGTTTCTCTCTCCAAACAGACCCATGTCTTTGTCTTCTGCCTGTGTTTTGTTTTTGGTTGGTCTCTTCTTCCAAGACTCTGCCAAAGCTTCATATGCCCCTCCCCCCCTTCTCCCCTTCGTTCCTTACTCACGTGTGAATTATTTCAATGAAATATTTTTGAGTTCTCTTTTATTTCCACATGACTGTTGAATCTATTAAGTTGCTGTTTGTATATTATTCTTATTCTCTTATGATTTCTTAAGTTTCATCTTTATTATATTTTAGGACCCAGGGATCATCCTGATATTGTTGATTCATTTATGCAACTCCAAGCTCAGGTGTGTTTTTGGTTTCTTATTTCATTCACTTTGGGTTTCTCTCTCTTTCTCTTTTTCTAGTTCCGACCTGTTTCTCTGTCCTCTTCTCTCTCTATATAAATATACCCTTTTCTGTTCTTTGTTACATAGGCAAGGCAGTGGAATGTAACACACGAGGGGAATGTTTGAAAACGGGACGTTTGTCTCTCCTCAAACGCTTTTGATTCTAACAGTCTCCTCACCACAAAAACATAGCGCTGTACTCATGTAGAGTTTTTATTTGCCCTGTAGAAATGAGCTTTATCTGTGCAGTGTGCCCAGTACAGTAAGGAAAAACAACCAAAATCCTTATTTTGTAAGTTCAGGTTATATTCAGGTAATCAGCTAATAAAACATTTTTTATGGCCTCTTGCAAAAATGCAGGATTTTCTCTTCTCACTGCCAAGTTACCATCATCACATAACCAGTCTTGTTTCAGTAAGATAACAGGGCATTTTTAAAATGACCCTGGGTTTTTTGGAAGGGTTTTATACCCTCTGATGTCTTAAATTCTCATGACACATGCCATGTAAACCCTTAACCAGTTACTACTTTATAACAAAAGATCAAGAGGACTTGTTTGAAGTCATTTTGCAATAAAATCCACCACCTGACACACTTAAATCGTATTATGTCTTTAACCATTTTCCCTAAAGTCAACACCAGGGTAGATTTCCTCATCTGGAAAAAATAAATCCACAAACTCAGAACCTCAGAGGAAATATTTTAGTTGATGCGGCGCTCATGGGAAGGATGATGCAACAGTATGAGTATCAGCATTGTGGTCTCAGGTGACTGATTAGTCTCTGAGCTGAGTCCTCCTCTGAAGTCATTCCAGCCCAGAGCCAATCAAAGCCCAAATGAATTAATATTCAACTAATATTAATCAGTTCAGACAAATTGGCTGATGGCTCTCCCGTTTTATATTTTTGTCTTTCGTCTTCATTCTTCTTCCTTGGTTTTCTATCTTTGGATAGATCTGACCTTCATCTCTCCCTTTCCCTTTCCCTCTCTCCCTCTCTCCTCTCCTCCATCCTGAATGAGTTCATTATTATGAGATGAGTTGTCTTTCTCTTTATCTGCACATGTTAATTACTTACACACTTCTGTTGCATATTCAATCCAGTCAACCAAAAACAAGGAATGTAATGTTTGGAATACAATTGAGTTCAAGAAACGAGCCCAAAACCACCATTGCTTTTAGTTTGACTTAAGTTTTCAAATGATTTCAAAGTTTGATTTTGTGCAATTTGTTTGTTACACCTGCCGACTTCTGCATTGGAGGATCTCTGTATGAGTTTGCATATAGTTCTTCCTAAACAGACGGAGAGAGAGTATTGCAGCCTGGTAGGCAGATCTGGCTCCTTGCCCGTGTTGCTGTCAGATCTGACTACCAGGCTTAGCGGGTATTGTTGATACCAGAAATTTGAAGGATCTTATGCAGTGGAATGTGGTGAAGCAGTACCGATTGGGTCGGGCCGACAAAAACATACTCTGTTTAATTCCTTTATCTGCTTTTAGGCCCTCAAACGGAAGCCCGATTTGTTCTTGTCTGAGAGCCTCGACGTGAAAGCAGTGTTCCACTGCGGTAAGTTTGCACATGATTTAGACAACCATACACACTGTTGTGTGTTTTGCTACAGTTTCTGTGAATGTGTGCTTGTCAGTACAAAGTACAAATTGTAAATGTTTGACACCAGCCTTCAGTAGTTTCTGTCTCCCACTTCTAGGAGTTCTGTCACTCAAATTTCCTGAGGCTCCGACTGTCAAGTCAACGTGCTTGTTCTTTGTAAGTACACACACACACACACACACACACACAGAGCTTAAACCATACGAGTGTGTTCAGAAGTGAGTCATTTGTCTTTAAATTTGACGATTCTCTCTGTGTTCCTGTCTTAGACTGAACTATTACCCCACTGCTCAGACGTGCCTCCATTAGCCAGAGTGGTGCAGGAGGACGGCAAGCTGTTGGTACAGGCCGTTCTGGAGGTGAGAAGCACCACATTCACACCACAGAAATGTTTCATCATTTCAGTGATCCTGCAGTTTGCTGTGTTATTACACTCCAAACTCTTCTTCCTCATTTACTGCGATTAAGTCCCTGATGTAATTTACCTCCTCTGCTCTCCCCAGGGCATTGGAGGTGGGGCGTCTCGGAGTCTGATGGACCAGTTTGCAGATGTGCTGTTTTGTCTGAACAAGCACTGCTTCTCTCTTCTCGCCGTGTGGTTGAAAGAGGCGCTGCAACCTCCAGGATTCCCATCATCACGGATCACAGCTGAGCAGAAAGATAACTTTTCACACCAGATACTCAGGTAACACCACTGGACACACACATCCATAATGTCATCCTTTTATTTGGTCTCACTGAGATTTAACATATGAAACAAATACAGAAACGCACAGTAAAATCGAGGGAGTGTGAGACTCACATCATATGCGATAACACTTTAAGAACAAGTAACATCACATTGACCAAGAGGACTGTTCTGCATCACCACCAACTCTGACAGTTTCAGGTCCTTCTGTAGATTATTCCAGAAAAAAGAGGTGCCATACTTCAAATTTCAAGTAAAATTCAAATTTTTTTTGTCACATAACATATGCATACACAGTATGACATGAGGTGAAATGCTTATTGCTGTGCCATGCCCGACCATTAAATTACCATTACTTGAGGCATTGTCACATCTGTTGTTCATTTACTCTGGTCCTAATCTGTTGATGAGTTTGTAAACTTATAACGTGTTCACTGTGATAATTTGTCACTACAAACCACGCGAGACTGTTCAGTATGATCATTGGCTAGATATGTCTGGAGTGTGAGCAACAACAGTAAATACGGATGCTGTGTTCTGAACTGTTGGAGATTTAAGTTAAGTTCACAGTTGCTAGCCCGTACAGACCACAGCACGTATATTGGACCTTGTTACTTCCCAGAATACACGGCATACATGCGTTTTTTGCTCAAACTGGAAATTTACTCCTGGTAGTTTGTTCAGATTGAGGTCAAATCACATTCACATCATAAACGAACCACACAAAACTACCTCCTCCAAAGTGTCTCAGTGCGGTTGGTTTTGTCTGCACCCGAGCGCGATTACTGTGTCACAGCTACACAAAGGAACGGCACCAAGGGGGAAAACAAACCAGAGTTCTGCTCTAAGTTTGGAGACAAATGTTTGTAAAATATGAGACTTTACTGATTATGCTTTAAACACATGTTTGCACACAAAGAAGGAAGCAGCCCAAGGAGCAATTTACATATACTTTATAATTGTTTCTTTTCTGCCTTCTTTTCTTCTCTATTGTTAAACAGAGAGCGAGTGAACAAGAGGAGGGTGAAGGATATAGTGAAGGAGTTTACGCTACTGTGCAGAGGTCTCCATGGTACAGAGTACGCCGCTGAGTACTGAAACTCTACCCTTGAACTTTTACCTAACCATGACCTGTCTTCAGTGCAAAACAGCTGGATGCCACAACTACACAGTTCTCTTGAACCCCTTCAGCGAAGATATCATGAAATGATTGTAATGTAACCGAACCCGCTGCAGAACAAGACATGAAACCACTCCAGTGCAGACGCGCCATTGGATTAATGGACAAACATTAAATCCATGGCTCTAGAGAGGCCATGATTTCTTTTTTCTTTTTTTGTTATAACCTTGATTGTTTCTCTCGCCCACTTGCCTCTCTTCTCTTACTTAAAGGTCTTTTGTTAAGTCAAGCTTTGAGGAGAAGTGCTGCCACACATCTCCTTTTCTCTCTGTCTTGTTCTGCCTTTCTAGATCTTCCTGTGGTTCCTAGATTGTTTCCTGGTGATTAGCATCCATATGAAATGGTAGTGGTATCGTACGTAGCTACTTAACATTATTTTCAAAATGAATCAAATTAATTATATAAATGTATATGTATGCACATATATTAAGACAGTGGTTTTCAGTCCTGCTGCTGCTATAAAGAAAGGAGAAAAGGACCAATCTTAGGGGGAGAGGCGGGGGATTCTGCAGGAAGACTGACGTCGATATAATATTTAGTCCTACTCATGCCCCTTGTGATCTCTGCATTTGCCAAATTATCATGGATCTTTCATTTTTGTGTTTTGTTTTTAAATAAATGCCTTTTATGGGATTTATATGGAGACAGAAAGCTGAAGACCACATTAACTTGGTCAGTCTTGCCCTGCCCATTGTGTACAGGGCTGTACCTCATGTACATATGATTCCACCCAGTCATATTGCAGTCTCCTCAGGTTTGTAGATAGTGGGTAATGCAGTGGTCCCTTAGGTGAAGCAGGGCTGCCTACAATAACAAAATGAAAGGAAAATAAATTGTAGTTGCTGGAAGAGAACGCAGCCCAAGATGTAAATGAAGAAGGGACTGCTGGGAGGGAATAATAATCCTGACGGTGGACTGCTTAGTCACTGTAATTGTGCAAAAATATTAATCAACTTGTGCATATTAACAGTTATTGCTGAACACTTATGTGTATTTGAGTGTATGCGTGTGTTCATACCTGTATGTATGAGAGGTTGTGCATGAATGTGTGCGCGTGTGTCTGCACAGATTATATCTTTTTCCACTTGTTTAGTGCACTTATATCAGACCTACAGTTCACATGCATAATTTCTGCCGGTTTTTTAAAGAAAGAGCCCAGTCATCCATTCGTATCTTCATACCACTCTTATTCAGCTTACTCTCTTCATTAAAACTGACCATGCACGGCCAAATATTTCACCTATGCTGCTCACCAGCAACCACACCCATCTATTAAACCTCCTTTTCATGTGGAAAATCATTGCTGAGATTCATCCGTCTTATCTGTTATTGACACCAACTACTGCTCTTAACGAACTGCTTGCAAACAAGCTACCCAGAATCCTTTTACCCACCTGGGTCACTGCCTTGGAGAGGACCGAGAAGGATTAGAGAGTTCAGTAACAAATTGCAAGACCGCTGAGAAAGTTTTTTTTGAAACCGACATTCTGTGCTCATCTAATATGCCTGAGACATTATTGGTGAAGTGATGCGAGGGCTGTAAAATACACTGTCTAGTGAATCAGCAGGACCAGCTGACACCTAATAACACTCAGCATTTGAAATGTACTTTGTGGTCTCTGATAAAACTTTATCTCAGTCTAATCCTTCTGTCTTATCCGCGGTGCCTGCAGACATGTAGCATGTATGTGTTTTTGTGGGGAGGGGGTGGGTGGGGGCGAGGTAGGGTAGAGATGCGATTTGTGGAGTGAGATCCGAGGCATGAATCGGCTTTGGAGTGAGCTGTTCTGCTTCAGAGTCTGATATGAACTGTGACGTTGAACGCCGATCCTCTGTCGGTGTTTCGCTCTTACTCTGAGGCGAGGAAATGAACAATGTTTGTCACAGTTTAAAGAACGACTTGTAGGTGGAGGGGAGGGAGGTATGAAATGTACTTGGTTTTTTTTGTACCTTGGCTTTAATTTATTAAATATATCTAAGACTGCAACTCTTGACTTTTTATGTGTGTGTGTGTGGGAGTATTTTTGTTCTTTTCCTTCAACACTTGCATTAAAATGTCTGCAACCTCCTGCATATATTTTCCAATTTTCAAAACGTTTTACACAACTAAGAAAATGTCTTCAATTGCTTTGTTTTTTATAGCTTGAGAGAGTGAGCCTATTATGCGAATTTACAACTCCATATTTCTGTTTTTGGACTGCACCAGAGCAGCACTGTATTACTCACAGTTCAAAATAGTAGTTATTTACCTTATTCTGCTCCTGGGTGCAAACCCAGTGTATCCTATCCTCTCTCTTTAATGTCACCTTTAGTTAGAGCCAACTCTTTTCTGATTGGCTGTACCTGGTACATCAAGTTTAAACAGCAGTTGGGGGCTATTTCTTTACTCACAACATGAATTGTGTCCCTGAGATGACTATATTACCTGCACCCACAGCAGCTTTTTGCTTACAGGGTTTATTTGCACATATATTTGAATGGTAGCGTCAGAATTTGGCATAAAGAACATGAAAACATGGATCTACCCTGCCTTGTATCAGGCTTGTGATTGTGTTGTAATGATGTGGGCAATACTTTCTTGGCACACTTTGGGCCCCTTAGTACCAAATGAGCATTATTTTAAGGCCACAGCTGACCTGAGTATTGTACCTATCTTCTGATGGCTGCTTCCAGCAGGCTAGTTTGTGGTGTCACAAAATTTAAATGAACATGAGAGTGAGTCCTCTGTACTCAGATGGCCTCCACAGTCACCAGATCTGCAGCAGCTGTGTGATGTTTACTAGCTTACTGTGGACTGAGATCTCTGAGGAACTTTTTCAGCACCTTGTTGAATTTTTGCCACAAAGACCCGAGGCAGGAAAGATGTGCAGGGCGAGTTTATATGAGAAGAAATAAGGAAAACAGTAATTGGCTCCCTTGAGCTGTATACAATTCTTCAGGATCACCGGGACAGGATGTTAGAAATACTAAGATTAATAGTCGAAGTAAACCCCCAAAGTTTTCCAGCATGAAGATCTAAATGACATGCCCCCCCCCCCCCCCCCCCCCTTCTATTAATTTCAGCTTGTTCTGAATCATTTTAAATAAAAAGATTCTTTTCATGTGTTTTAGAAATTTTAAAAGGAAAAGTACAAAATAATTTACAAGTTGCTTCCCTATTGGCAGTTTTCACATTAAAAGTTCAAAGCCTCCCAAAATTCACTGACATCGCTGAAACTTCTAGTATGTTTGCTGATAATGATAAACAGACTGCCATCAACAGGATTTACAAAGAGGATTTATATAAAATAAAGAAATAACCTGTTTTGAAAGCATTATCCTCCTTTTGTCCTTTTTGCCCACTTAAAATATCTTTATAGGACTGTTGTGCAATTTCTGGTCCTGTTTGGCCAGAACTCGATTGAAAAAGGCATTTTTAATGGCAATGAGACTTTCACAGAATAAATTAAGGATAAATAGAAATCACTTTGCCAAAACAAAACAAAAACAAACAGATTCCAGCTTCTAACTTGTGACAGGAAAGTTCACTGTTGCTCAAAAGTAGTTGATATCATTCATAAGAAATATGGCTGAAATATGGGATAAAATTGACAGATTATAAGCCAAAAAGTAATTTACCACAGTTTAAATACTGGGGATCATCACTGAGCAAATACTGTAAATCACTCTTTGCTACGACACCCACTTGCGCATGCGTCTTGCAGTTTGAGTGGCTCACACGTGGGTGCAGAGGTCCAGCCATCCTTCCATCCATTCAGTCAGTCAGTGTGCAGACCGCAGCTAACCCAGCCGCTTTCAGTCTGTCCTGCAGGAGCAGAAGTCACTCCGGGACTCCAGCAGAGACCAGGTTTGATCCCAGACAGCGTAACTGCTGCTGCACGTAAGTTAGCTAATGTGCTTTCTGCTAACCCTGCTGCCTTTTAGCCGCTTAGCTTCCACACAGGAAACATGGAAAACTCCCCCAGCTCTTTTTAGACACGAGTCACTTTTTAAGAAGTTGTATCCCTTATAATGTGTCGTTGTTGTGTTTCAGTCAGTTGACACAGAGGTGTGTGTGTGTGTGTTTATGTGTGTGTGTGTGTGTGTGTGTGTGTGTGTGTGTGTGTGTGTGTGTGTGTGTGTGTGTGTTTATGTTGAAGGGGGTTGCAGTTTGTAGCGTGTTAAACACTAACAGAAAACTCCTGACCGTGCAGTGTGTGACCTGCAATCAGTGGGCCATTTGTCAGGATCAGGATTGTGTGTGTGATTTTATATTGGACATAGTTCTGCATTTATTATTGTAATGTAGGTTTTATTAAGTGTAAAATTAAGGAAGTTTAATAGAATGTTCACCTGAGCCACAGCAAATATATATAAGGAAATGAATAAATACTTTTGAAACCATGAAATCATAAGTGTTAATGACAAACATCTCTTATCTCTTGAAAATCTGATGACATGAATTATTTTTTAATTAGAATATTTTTAATGAGTGCTAGGGTACTGCTCATTTTTCTTTAGGGGAGCCCGGAATTTCTTATGTGGAGGAAAAAAACTTATTCTCTGCACATATGTCAATACATGTAGAGTACAGATCAAAGAAAACCTTCACATGTTGGTTTTCTAACCTTGCAAAAGTGTTATACATGTTTATAATTCAAACAACTTGAGTCTGGATCTAGACATTTTCCAGATGTTTTACCAAAAACGGATTAACTTTTTTTTGTAATTAAAAATTGGAATAGTTAATGACTTGAATACAACTTTCAAACTTTGTTGTGGTCCCTGGGTTGTATGTTCAACATGCTGATATCGTTGGCTTTCTGTGACGATTTGCAACCTTTTTCTCCTTTTGAATCAAACGTACAGTGGACTGAAAACTTTTAAAAACTACAAATAAAGTATTAATAGTTGTTATTTGTTTTGAACTTAATGTACAGTAAATGAAAATTAGATTTCAGTGCGTTTTCTGCTAATGTAAATTCTTAGAATTTCAAATCAAAATAAAGTGATCTGTACCAGCGTTCTTCCTCTTAGCTCCTGTTCCACCTTTGTAGCAAATTTCATGAAATTCACCTCTGTAGTTTGTGTAATCTTGCTGAAAATCCAAAAAAAAGACCTTTAAGAAAAAGCCCAAGTCGGAGTGAGAATTTATCTTGTAACATCCTCTCTGTTCTGTGTGCCTTCGAGGTCCTTGGTACAAAATGTGCAGATTCAGCCTCCCTCCTCTTTCTTTTATCCCTTCATTAAATCGCTGACTCCATGATGATGAAATCCGGGCGCTGTGTGGCCCATAGCATGTTGCAGGACTCCAGTTCTTTTTCCTGTTTGGGTTCAGAATGACGTGTAGCCCAATCCTGCTATAGCGTAATGGTTTGTAATCAAAATATTTAAAGCTCTTAAAGCTTTTGAAAACTGCCATATCTAAACATAGATTACTCTGCTATACTGATAGATGGCTTTCACAGCCTCTCTGAGGTCTTGCGGAGGTGTTGGAATGGGTTGTAGGCTTTTTGCAGTATTACGAGTGGCCTGCTATCTCATTATTGGTTTGTCTTGACCTGAATCGATCTGGAGACTAGGGTCGGCACACTTAATATTGGTCATCAATTTCATACTTTGGACTCTGATTTAATGACTCGTTACTTCAGAAAATGCAGTTAGTAATAGGCTAAATCAATTCTATTGACAAATGATGCCTAAAATTCACCTTCTTTGACCCTCTACAATTGATTTGACTAATGCACTACCCTCTGCCTTTAAACTGGATTTGTGTATCTCTTCATCAGTCATGGCTGTCGTGAGGTTCTACAGTAATGAAGCTCTGAAAAGTCGGGCCTTACAAAGGGCAGCAAAGCTCTACCCACATCTGTTAGTCACGACCGAGCTGTGCTACAATGTGGAACTGACAGGTGAGTGTGTAACAGGCCTTGAAGATGCTAATTATTATGGATGTGGGTAGAATGAGGATTAAAGTCACTGAATTCACCTTAAAGGTTTCTTACTAGTCTACCACTTAAAATGTCACATTTACATCTGTTTATAATGTTTTGTCCTGCTGTGATTTTTCTCCTGCAGGCTGCGAGAGTCTCAGCGATGAGCAGAAGGGGGTTCTACTCTGGTTGTTTCGTCATCCTCTGCACGCAGAGCCGCTGTCTGAGAAACCAAACCTCACAGAGGGCAGTGGGGAGAAACTGGTGGAGATCGGGCCCAGGTACTGCTGCCTGGTTTTTAGAGATAATTCATTTGCATCTCAGTCTTTTTGCTTAGCACAAAACACACAGATGCCATCTGCAGTTGCTTTACCAGGCAATCCCTGCTCTTATTTCGAAAGTTCAGTCACTGCCAAGCAGCTAGCCCTGGCCTTTCCCTGTGAATCCTGACTTGATGAGGTCCTGGCTAGGTAGCAATCAGCTGCTTTACCAGCGAGGATCCGACATCCACCTCCACTGTTTTTGGATTGCAGCTGGGATTGCTAGTCCTTGTTCTTTTTTGAGATCCACAGCACCTCTCTAACTAAAATGGTTCAGATATTGCAGTCCTAGGCAGCAGGTCGCGATTACGAGCTGGAAGAAAGATACAAATCTGTACCTGTGCATTTTCAAATGTTTGTGTTCCAGGTGCTGTATGTTTGTTTTCTTGGCAGTTGGCGATACATTGTGCATTTCTATTTGTACTCTATTCTTTGACCACATATACCCCAACTTTTTTTCTTTCTTTTTTTTCCCTCCTGCCTTAGACATTGTCATTCTGTATGAATAAGATTCCAGTTAGTGAAATGAGAACTTAAGGTTATGAAATACAGGAAACAAAGAAGTCAAACTGGTAAACTGCAAACAAGCCAGGCCGTGAGGGTTCTGGCTAAGACGTTTGTGACTTCCTGTAGCATACATTAAAATAAATACCGTCTGTACTGAACAATGTTAGGCAGGTGTTCACTGTGACTAAGGGTAAGTAATATGGAAATCTTTAAAAGTGCTGAGCAGACTGTAGGCGAGCCTGACTTAA